TCGCCGGTCCCGCTGGGCAGGTACACATGGCCCTCATCCGCCGCGATGGTCATGGCCGGTCCAAGTGTGCCGTCAATGATTGAGCCAACGATGCTGGGACTGGTGGGGTCGGAGATATCCACCACTGCCAGGTAGGAGGCGCTTGCAGAGTCTGACCAGGTGGTCACATATGCATAATTCCCTTGCACGGCCACATCATGCGTCATTCACCGCCCCGACCACCGTAGGACTGCTTGGATCCGACACGTCTAGCACAGTGAGTTGGTCAAGCTGATTGCTGACCACATAGACAAAGCTACCTGGTGGGTGTTTTCCACCCACTTGAAACATATGAGTCAGAGGGTCCTTCTTCATCCCCAAGTTGCTTGGGTTGAAAAGAAAAATCTCCGAAACCATCACCTAGCGACCATCCACCGCCACGCCCTCGCACATCACGAGGTTCGCCGCATCGTACTCGGTGCTAGCAAGGATGCTCGGACTACTTGGGTCGGAGACATCGACCACGGACAGTCGGGCGGCATAATTCGCACATGCATAAGCATACCTTGGATGACAGAAAGGAACCTTGGAGTACCAAAAGGGTATAATATAAATCATGATACATGTACCAGGACCCTCCTGTCGGGGTGTTCGGTAGTGTGGGGTAGTCCATTCGACACCCCGACAGGAGGGTCCAGGTCCATGTACATTGTAACTAGAACTTGAGGGAGGGAGACACGAAAGGTAGGACAGCGGGAAGAGAAAAGAACGCGAGAGGCAGGAACAAAAATGCAATGTTCGACATGGTGATTTATCCCCTCGGAGGCGACCTTTCGTAAATGTAATTTCATATGCACTCTAAATGTTCAAACATATGCTCTCGAAATGTTCACAAAGATTCTTAGGAAAACAAACTTGCCCCATGGCTCAGATCATCGGTGAGGATTTAAACTATCCTGAAACCATAAGAGGCTCACGAAGACGGTCCCCAGGAGAGAATTGACGTGCTTCACAAAACAAACTCTAGGTATGTATCCCCTCGGGGAACACCTTTCGTGATTAGAATTTCATATGCACTCTTTCTGAATGTTCAAGAGGGTTTCAACTATCCTGAAATCATGAGAGGCTCACAAAGACGTTCTCCAGGAGAGAATTGATTTTGTCGGGGGGGAACGGGGGGGTCTGTATTGAGAAATCAATTCCAAGGGGGGGGGGTGAATTGAGCAATCCATTATTCGACCCGGAAGAGCTGACACTTGCTTCGCAAAACAAACTCAAGGTATCCCCTAAAGGGCTACCTTTCGTGAAATCAATGAAAAGCACCTGATCCACAACACCAGGATACTGCCCCGACACCGCGAAGCGCGGTGCTGCATAGAACTTACTACCACTGATGGACCCTGCCACGGTCGGAGCGCTTTTGTCAGAGACGTCCAGCACCGTCAATTGCTGTTCATAGTCGGATCCTTGGATTGGCTGTACACCCTTAGAATCCGAACGGGCTCTCCATGGCAGGGGTCGGACCCGACACCGAAACGCAGGGGATACAGGATGATAAGGTGTTCCATTCCGATGTGCTTGATTACTCTACCCTGCGAATCCGGGTAGAGAAACACCTCATCAGGTTTTGGTTCGGGCCCGGACCCTGCGTTAAGGTGTCGGGTCCGACCCCTGCCATGGAGAGCCCGGACTCGGATTCCTAGGGTAGGAACTTTAAAGGTAAAAATATCTCACCAAAAGGGGATGTATACTACCTACAAAGGTTAAGTGACCTTATAGGACCGTACAGGAGTACGTATAGGATAGTCCATAGGGTTCTTCAACCTCTGCTGGTAGTTTAGGACCAAAATCGCCTGATACTATCGACTCAGGGATCCCACATAGACATAGTTCCCCTCCACGGCAAGGCTGCCAGGTCGTCGAAGGTTGGTCGAGTCGAAGATGCTGCCGACCACGCTGGGGTTCGAAGGGTCTGATACATCCACCACATACATCCTTGGATGTGCTGAAAATGCTGAAAGAAAAGGTAGTACTTCCAACGGGCGCCCTGTCTGGAGACCTGTTTACATAGGGTAGGGTAGTCTATTGGACACCCATTGGATGATCCTGGTATGAATTTGCTTAATTAACTTTAGAATACCCCGTTGTACTGGCGTCCGGGGTCAGTACCGGATAATTTCCAGGGACTGACGGGTTTTTAGCCAAAACCGGTGGATAAATTTGAAGGCCAGAGGGCCAACATAAGGCTCCCCCAAAAAAAAAGTACACAACCAGTGCAGATAGATAATCTTGAGAAGGCCTGAGGTTAGCAAACTAGACGAATAGGATCGAGGAACCCCCCACCCAAAAGTAGATGCTAATCGACAAACGAGACAAAAAGAAACGATCCCAGGCCCAGGTTTCTTTCCAACGCTCTATGTGCTTTGTGGTGGTCTGTAAAACTAAGGATTGTTGCGGAAGTCTGCAACCCTTAGAAGGTTGGTTGTGGTTGCGGTTGAGGTTGGTCTGGAATCAATGGATCCAACCACTTGCAATAGAATGTCGATTGCATGGCCCGCAGTGCTGGTCGAACAGTACATTTTGGCCGGTATTTTGTGGACTTGACAGCCGCTCTGGACTTAGGAATGCCAGCGGGAGTTTATCAGGGTTACGATGCCCAGAGCGACAGGGAAGCAGCTTCTTTGTTGAACAGAACTTCTGCATTGAAATTGTTTTGTCCAGATGTCAGCGCACCTTTTTTTATATTCGCTGCCGTTGAGCAATTTTTTTGAAAGCTCTCCAGACCTAGCAGAAGCAGCAGAAGAACATTAATTCAACGTATCCCACAACTTGTCATTTGTATATCCTCCCAACCTTAGACCAAGGAAAATATCCAGGTTGTTTTTAGGACGCACATGTTTCACACGTGTCCTTTTCACGTGCCCCACCACTATTTTTCAGACTCCTCATGTCGAAACACAGGGTCCCACTGAGAATGATCCAGAGCTGAAAGGTGCTGACCAAGAGGTGCTTCCAGCTGTTGGAGCAGTTGAAAGCCCGCGGTGACTGATGCTTTGACGTTCCGTTGGCAAGTTTCGCTGACAATTTTTTGGTTCTCTGTGATCATGACGTCCATGGAGCTCGGAAAATCTAACGAGCGGAAATCTAACGAACGTCCAGCGAGCGATGTTCTATCTTTTCTTTCCTTTTCTACTCCCACTACCGAGTGGATAAAATTGGAGCGTTTATTCTGGATATTTTTGATGCACTGACCCCATTTTATCCACCCCAAAAAAAAATTATCCACTCCTTACTTGGGTTGATTTTTTTGGAGGACAGACCCCCTGGATAGGTTGCTGGCAGGCTGGCACACAGATAAAGTCCAGGCACTGACCCCTCCAATTTTATCCACTCAGTACGGCCCCCTATCTTTAGAACACATATGAAAACGATTCAAAAACCTCTTCTGCAGGTTGGGGGAAGAAAAACCATGCAGTTTCCACCGGGCATCGCGTCCTGGTAGCGGCCCAGCACATAGGCGTAGTTTCCATCGACCGACACCTGGAAACGAGGCGACGCCACGGTGACGGCTGTGAACGCGGTGACCCGGAGTGACTCGCTTCGCCGAAACGGCGAAGACGTCGCAAGTGGCAGGGAGCCGCGGTTGGCTGTGGTTGAGCGTACGTTGATTGGGGTGGGGATGGTACGGAGCGGTAAGAACATGTCACAGAATGTGGAGTGTCACAGGATGTGCTGTGATCAACAAATACCACTCCCAATCTCTACCGTAGAGCGATAGGAAAAACAAAGAAATCATGCACGACAAATCGAGAGTACCATTTCTGAGCTTGATGTATGTTATCCTCGAACCGAACCTTCTTGGACAGCCTGCGCTGGGCACCACTTGGCCGGCAGCAGTTTGAGGGATCTTATTGTTCATTCAGCATTTCACAGTGGCTTGTAGTGGCTTGGTAGGTTGCACCAAGGAAGTGTCAAGTGTCAGTCAATGCCCTTTACATTCTGACAGGTCCTAATATGTATGTCTATATGTGCAAGTACACCACCGTGTAATTGGTATAATATGAACTGCGAGCGCCAAGCGCAATTCCAAATAATTCCAGCACAACCAAACAAGCGAGCGTGCTTTGCAATCGGCTAAATTCATACCGGCCAACAAATGTGTTGTATCACACGACAGTCCTGGCCTGTGGGCAAAGCCTTACATACATCTTCTTAAAGCCAACATTGAACTCACCCGGAGAGAAAAAGAACTTGTCATACCTCATCCTACCTCATGTTCTCTCAGGCTTTCGCCTTCCAGGGGATGTTCACCCCACTCGGCTTGGCAGTGAAGCCCACGATTTGCCATGCGCAAGTGCTCGAACTCGTCACCACCGTCGACAGCGCCAGCACAAGCGGACGGAGGAGTGCCATCGCTTTCTTCGGCGTCCCTGCCGCCCAGGACTGGCCGCTTCGCTTCGCTTCGCTTCAAGCGGAGCGAACTCCGAAACGTCCGGAGTCACCTGGTTTGATATGGCAAAAGCTCGAGTGACTCCGTTTGAGATCTGAATGTCGAGAAGCAACGTGCGGTATGAAGAGACGAGGATTGCCGGTTTTGAAGGATGGACTTCTGCAAAAATGGATTCCACCTGGGCGATGATTCTAAGACATGACGATGCTCAAGGCGATCTTCATGCAATGCATCAAAACCTTATGTCCGTCATCTAGCTGTCTTTGCCTGGCTGTCTTGAGGATAAAATCGAAAGCAGGAAGTCATACTAGGCAACCCTTCAAACATGACTTTAAAGTTAATTGCACATTCACCACGCAGTTCCTTGCAGATGTTGAATCATATAGCTACACCACTGGCTACACCATATGATGTTATTCATGCATCAAGTATGTAACTTTGAATGACATCTTTTGCCCCGCTTCTGGGGAGCATGGACACCCCTGCCTGCCCCAAAAGAGGAACACACGTCCCTCTGATTCCCTCTCTGCCCACTTCCAAAACAAAACGAACGTCTCACTGAGCAAAGGACCTGATTTCTCACCCAGAGCCTGGCAACGTTCGAGGGCGGATGATATATATCAAGATAGATTTGCGCAACTCACACTTGAAGATCAATGAAGACCCTGAATGATGTACCACTGTCTCATTTTGTCTCTTCGCACTTGGTGTCTTGCCTTGTTCGATTACTGATGCAGTGAACCCACAATGGAATCTTGTGTCTCTCCAGTGTTGTTTGTCCCCTTATTTCACCGGCTAGGAGCCGCGAACCGGATGTGGTTCATGAATGTTCATGAACTCTGCAGCATCCAACTTCTTGAACCGTTCTTCCACCCTTTGGAAGACTTCAAAACTTCTTCAAACATCTTCACAAGCTCGAAGCTGGGGGTCCACTAAATCCGTCTCCCGGGGCGGGACCTGTAGCTCCGGCAGCAGGCTGGCAGCCAGCGGCAGAAGGGTCGCATCCCTCAGGCCCCAAAGGAGCACCAGCCTCACGAGCTGGGAAGCGGAGCCACAAAACCGGTGTTGCGAGCCGGAGCCGACCCAAGGTCATGGGAGCCGAGTCGATTCCAAAACCCATGAGAACTCCCGAGTTTGAACTTAAAGGTCAGTAGGTAGAGTTTGAACATTCGCTTACACCCGTTGAAACTCGTCCATCCTATTTGTCGCCGAACTTTAGGGGGGTTGAAACGGGAAAAAGCAACTGACAAAACCAGACCCACCTCCTCAAAAACCAGGGCCTCTCTCAAGCGGCTTCAATGCGACGCACCGAGCACACCGTCTGCTGCGTCTGTGCCGAGAAATCTGCGCGTACCGCACCGTGTTTTGTTTTTGTTTAAATGAAAAGCACAGGGATTGAGCGAGTTCACATGGTGACATGGTAGAAACATCCGTGCTTGTTCCCGTGTTCTTTTTGGGATAGACTGGGAGACTGGTGGAAGAGTTATATACATAGACATGACCACTCCAATGATCCCAATGACAATGACCCGTTCATGTGAGTAACTCTTCCAGTCCCATGGAGTGTCTCTTCGGACTGGTAGAAACATCAGTCTCCTGCTGGAGAAGAAATGGGCTCTCGTCTCTGCACAGCTTCTTGGAACCATCGTTCTCGGACCCTATGGATCCAGTCGTACCTTCTCAGGTGATTGGAGACTATTTGTGTAGGCGCCAGGAGAGCCCAGTCGTACCTTCTGAGAAGGTGGCAGTGGATCTAGGGAGAAGTAGAGTGGGCAGTTGGAGAAGTAGCGTCGCTTGGCCAGACGTCAGAGCGCAACCGTAGTAAGTACGGCCGAGGAGGTCTCGTGTGAGTCTCTTGCCGGCCACAAAGTGAAGCGTGATGGTTCCTTGAGAAATCTGAAGCCTACACCTCCAGTCGTACCTGCTCAGAAACTATTTTGGACCTGCTGGCACCCACCCCAGTCCCACCTTCTCAGAAGGTACAAGGCCTAGGGGAGCAAGCTGTTTGGGTCCTACCATTGGATGTTGAGAGACCACAGCTGGACACAATGCACTGTACCTGGCAGTGCGCCAATACTGTGCTCCGCTGACTCTCCCAAAAAAGGAAGCACTCGGTGTGTCCAAATGAAAGCCCAAATTCGCCAGGCACTGGTAGCCTACTCCTCTCCCCACTGCCTACTCGCCCCACCTTGGCAGGATCATAAAGAGCTCGGGAGATTGATCCTCCAACAGCTGTGCAAAGTCAATCCTGGGTGAGTTGCTGAGAAGATCGGATTTCTCCTCCTATATGGGTTCAGCAGGCTTCAGCAGGCTTCAGCTTCACACATCCGCAAAATATCACCCCCGTGAAGTGGGAAGACTCACATGGACCCTGAAAATCACTGGTAGAAACACCGTCTTTCTCCGGGCCTATTCTCCGGGTCCAATTGATTCGTTTTCGGGAGTGTCGAGATGTCTGTTCCTTTGACCCGGGGTCAAGCAGGGTGGGGCGCTCCAAATGCCTTCGGCCGAAGCCACACGACCGAGCAAACAGCCACAGGACGTGGGACGGGCAGCGCTGACAGGGGAGATGGAAGAAGCATCCAAAGAGTCCACCTCTTTGGAAGCCCTCACAACATGGTACTATAGTCATGATTGAACAACAATGGTACTATAGTCACTCCCAGGTACCCAGTCACTACAGGTGATGCAACAAGGGTACTTTGTCATGATTGCTCGACTGAGTCAACTTTGCAAAAGGCTCCGTCAGTGGTCGAAATCCTACCGGGTCTATCCATCATCACGAGGTGGCACATCCTGGATGATGATGGTTGGTGGGATCTGTACTAAAAAAAATTGGCACACGTTCACTAATTACAACTAATTACGTACGTTGGCCGCCTCTTTTCATTCCATGCTGGTGGGTAAGCAGGTGAAACCTTTACTCTTCCTTTTGATACCTTTCTGTGTCGTGCATCACTTGCGGCAGCCGAGTCCATGCTGAATCCTCCAAATTCCAGACACGTCTCGAACCAACAGTGGAGGAAAAGAAGTGCAATCAACAGTGTTTAAGCTTAACAGCTTAACTGTTCAATCCATATCTGGTGGCTGACTGGTTCCTTTGCAAAGAATATTAGCCAGTTGGAATGCCCATTCCCAATAGGGAAGGAACCAAAATGTGCTTGCTTTCATCACCAGTTCTGTCAACGTGTCTTGATGTGTTGCGCGACTTGGTTCTGTCGGAAAGGTGACTTGACTTGGACTGTTTTTTTGGTGTTGGCCAGACGCTCCATGGATGCCATATATGCCGATCAATTGGGGTGGTTTTGGGGGTCAATGGGGCGGCAGTCCTATGGCAGTCCCATTAGTCGTGTCTGGGTTGGATGGTGTTGGCACTGAAGCTGCCCGCCATCGAAGTGAAGGACTCACCGGGCGGAACCATGGATAACTCACCAGCTTCTACAGTTTGCCAGGACATCCCGAAAACACGGAAAAGATATGGCTAACTATGCTAACTAACCGTTGAGTTCAGAAATCAAAAACCTTTTGGGCGGAACCCAAATATCTGTATCTACTTAACTGGATGTACATATTTAACTTGAGTTGGCTCGGCCCCATCTCCAAAGCGTGTCCAATGGAATTTTTGTCTAGTGATGTCTAGCAACTCTACCAGTGCCCAAACGCTCCATGGGACTGCCATATATGCCTACATTGGGGTTGTTCGTGGGGTCAATGTAGGTATATATGGCATAGATGGAGTGTCTGGGGCATAATATACCACCGTTTGTCTGATGAACCTTGTCGCATCCCAGCTACGATGGCGCAGCAGGACCCGCAGCAATGGCGGCCATCTGGGCCGCGACGCCGCACAGGGCATGGCATAGCTGAGGTGCCGCAAGGAAGGTGGAGCCGAGTTCCTTAGCTGGTTGTGAGTGGTCAAAATTGGTAACATGTTGAGAAGTATATAGTTGTCTTGGCAGCTGGCCTAGCTAGAGTTTTTGCTCCAGGGTGCGGAGAAAAGGAATCATCCGAACGAGAGGTCACCTCAGCAAGATCATCTACTCTCAAGAAGGGATTGGTACCTCCCCATCAGGGTGTGCAAAGCTGCAGTTGGCCAACGGTAACCAAAAAACACCTTCGACTTCATGGCGTTGACCTCGGAGAAACCAACCTGGAGACACCGATGTTGAACGGACGAACCGCCGACAGATCCGGGCATCCGGACGACCTTCAGTCGCGACGAGCGGATCCGAAGACGGGTCCGACCTGAAAGGTTGACCTTAACCGCCAGGTGCACTGGACCTGTCAAAGCCCATCACCGGTCATTGGGCGGATTCAACGGGCGGACCCACACCGGTCGTTCTCCACGTGCCTAACACCATCCCAGCGGCCTGGTCGGTCATTTTCTTCCCCTGCCCTGGGCTAAGACGCCGGCGAAGGAGACAGGAGCTGAGTTTCAGCGCTTCCCTGCTGCGACGCGACGCTGCGATCCAAGTCACCCAGGCTTCCTCCCAAGCGATCAGCACTTGCTGTAAGTCCTCGTTGTGCGAGAGTTGTGGGTCGATCCACAACATCTGCGAAGAGATGTCCTTGGCCCAATGAATCGAAGTGTCATCGGATTGGCGGCCAAGGCGAGGGTACTGGTCTCAAAACCATTCGGACCATTCAAGAACACCTACTGTATAATTGATAAATGCTCAATTCTCGATCAATACATCGGATGATCAGGTATTCCATTCCGATGTGCGTTTTTCCTCGAAATAACCACCCTTCGTTTCGCCCGTCCAACGCTCGTTTTTAAGAGCCCAAGAAACGGCGAAGAAGTGGCGCAAAGCCAAGAAGCCTCGGTTCCACTCGCGTTCCTTCTGAAGGATTCTCCCGTGTTTCATGTAGACTGTATAGACTCTTGATTGAGAGAAACACACCCGTACACCCTTCCCCAAATTCTAAAGTGACACACAATCATGACACATCTCTCCATTGCAAGGGTGTGAGTCATCAACAGTCTACATGATCCCACCAAAAAACAAGGACATGATCTATAGAAACAGTGAGAAGCAGCGCCCCGAGTTGTCTATCAGGATTCGGATCCGATCTCTGCAGCTATACATCAAGCCTCCGGAATCAGTTTCTCCAGCCACGCGTCATTGACTCCGGAAGTCTTTGCAAGTTCCCACTCACCGCCATTACCTTGAATTTGCTTATGGGATTATGTTCCACAGATTGCCAATTGCGTCCCCGTCCTCAAGAAACCTGTTAATTTACTAATGCTAGCTTATTAATTTCAAGTCGGATGATCCAAGTGATACCCATGGAAGTCACGCCGACATGTCGCCTCAAAAACTCACTTTTCATGCAGGGATCCCTTCATCTTTTAACTTCTTCTTCGATGTTTTTCCAGAACGGCAACGGCAGGCAACCAATATTATAGTCCAGTTCCAAGATCGTGACATCTTCCCATGTTTCAGGTTATCCACAGGCCGGGTAGGATGTAGGCCGTCGATGTAATCGCGACATGTTCGGGTGCAACAAATGCCACACAGCATTTGTTGACACACTGATTTACACCAACCCTACCAAAACTGGAGTTGTCACAACAATCATGGGGGCTCGGCTCAGCAACCGTTTACCCTCCGAACACATCACATGGAAGTGGTAAATGGACAGTTAGAGTTGATGACTAATTATACACCAGGAGTCACAAAGGGGTGGTGTTTAGTCCCTAAGTGAGTGGAGAAATTAATGGGCACCCCTATCCTCCAATAGGCACCCCCTTTGTGACTCCTGGTTTACACATCTAGATCCTTCAAAGTGACCCAACTTTGGACTCCCTGTTTGTGACCTTTTCCAGGCACAAGTGACAGGTATTCCAGGATAGCGAAAGGTCACATTGAAACACCTGGAGTGTGGTCTCCACTTGGTGATGTATTTGTCGGAGTAGACGCCGTCTACTCACCAGTTGCCTTCTCGCTTCCCGGCCTGAACACCCACTAACAGCGAAATCCTACCGTTTCCCGGCCTTCCAACACCATGCGCGCCAAGGCCTTCTTCACACGCTCTGCCGAACTGGCTTCGCGCCCGTCCTGGAGGCCCGCCGAAGCACGATCAGGGACTTGCGCTCCCTGGAACCATGGAAGTGGAGTGAGTTCACTACCTACTTGAAGATGAGGAAAAATGCTGCTCCGAAGTTGGGGGCCATCCACGTTGGCCCATAGTGTAAGGTATATAGATGATCCCTGATTTACACTCTGACGAACACATGACCATTTTCCATCCACGTAACCATGTGATGTGTTCGTCAAATTGTATCTGATTCTCCTGTATCCGTCCAGATTCTTTTTTGTTATATATAGTAGTCCTTCCAATGCACCTCCCCCCTCGCCAGCACCACCCAGCTTGGGTGGTTTATATGGGTATGTCCTCGGATCCTACAAGGGTTTAGTCCCCCGGGTCGCAGAAAGTCACCTGGCCCCATGGGCGCGCTACAGTAGTGGACGACTTAACCACATACCAGTGCATCGTTCGCTGATGACGCGTATGATACAAGGAAAAAAGCCGGTTGCTGATTAGATCACCCATTTGCTTGTTATGTGTTTTCCAGCGTTGTGGAGTCTTCTTGCGGGGGTACAGTACAGTCCAACGTTCTTACCTCAACAACTGTCATCCCTGCCCCACATGAAAAGCATTCCCAAGAGCTCAGGTCCGAGCCTGGGAGAGGTAGAGCTTGGCTGCCACTTCCAAGACCTGGAATGCTCTAAGACGTCTGAAGCAAATGATTCCTCAGATATGGCTGAGCCCTTGGCGTCCCGCTTCGCGGATCTCTTCATATTCCATTTCAGTACTGCGAACCGTTTCAGAACGCCACGATCATCGCTGTGGGTCAAAGCCCTTAGTGCCCCCTGGTTGGCGCCCAGGTCAATTGAACAAATCTTTATAATGACATGTCAACCTCCCATGCTTTTCTTCTGGGGGAGGTGTCAGCCCCAGGTCGGGAAACCGCTCGCCTCCATGGAAAAGTCGCTGCGGCCCTTGCCACGCGCATTGGCACAAGCGTTCAATTCACCGACGCGCACCAGCAGGTCGTGCAGAAAGGCACGCCTCGCACGAGCAACGAGAGTCGGGGGGGACGACCAGTGAGGGTTTTGGTTTGACCCATCAAGGGTTAGAAGTTATATGACGTATTATACATACATATATAATATTAGTATATATGCACACATTTGATGTGTGTGGTGTGCTTGGATAAACTGGAGTTTACTGTTATTGATCGCGTGGGGGTTCAACAACAAATATCCAAGAGCACCAGCAGCAAAAGGAAAGGAACGGGACACATGAATTTATGGATTGCTTCTCTACGTTTTAAGTTCAGTGAAACCCTCTGAATGGATTTTCTTAGAAAGGTATGTCCAGGGAGGCCCCCAGGCTGATCAGTTGTAGGCTGCCTTTGAGCCCCAGCTCCGCAAAAAGACGTGGAATGTCACTTCCGTACATCCTACATACCCAAACACTCCATGTGTGCCATCTCTGCCGATCAGTTGGGGTGGTGGTGCCAGTTAGCCTATGGCAGTCCCAAACAGGTCGTGTCTGAGAATAGGTCCTACCAGTCTTCCCACTCCAGTGCTCTACGTATGCCTCGGTTTCCGTGAAACGGACTGTGCACGCTGTCCACCTCGGCCCTCTGCGGGCCGACTCCCGCCCGGCGGAATGCGACGCTCCTTGAGCCGTCTTGATGCCCCTCTTAGCATACATATGATAGAGTTTTTTAACCAGGGCCCAGCGGATGATGATGGTTAGACTATCTCAAACATATCTATAGATAATCCTCAGGCCGCCTGTTACTGCTTTACTGGGACACTGGACACTCTCTACATGTAAGATATAGATCGAACAAATGTCTAATCAGTCTCTTGGACCTTCCATTTGGGCGACCCTCTAACCAGGTGAACTTGCACCTCATGCCATGCTTGGAGGTCGCGGAGACAGCCAGGTCATAGAGCGCAACAGTGCTGGGAGCTGCTGATGCCTGGAGTGCAATCCCGGTCATTCATAAGAATTCAGATTTATACATGCTGCTCTTGTTGAAGGACCACCTGACATGAGTCTGAGTCATCATGACAACTATATATATATAGAGAGATGAGCTGTTTAAACCCTAGCCCCAAAACAACTATGATAGTTGTTATATATAATATATATTATATGACATATTATGACAAGTCTAGAGACTTTGAATAACAAACAACGAACATGACAAAATCGACAGCAACACAAAAACACAACAAAAACAACCTGAGTCAGTCATGATGACTGCTTGGAGCTTTGGCGGGGATGAGGAAGCACGAACATAACATCTGGAGCCAGCTTGACCATGCTTGACCCATCAAACATCCCGTGATGGGTCCTACTATGCCCATTGAGAAAGAGGCAATCTGAACTTCATTTCGGAGCTGTGACGGAAAGGTCTTGCAAAGAAGGTCTGCAACGATCCTTTCGGATCTGTGATGTGAATTTGGGGCACATTCTGAGATTCCTCGGCAGGCTTTCTGACGGCAGCGCTTTCAATTTAGCCTCCCAGAAACATACAGAATGGACGCCCTGGGGAGATTCCAAAAACAAGGATGCCTTCCTCGTGTCACTGCCAACTGTAGTAATTGTTGCTGCTATGTTCCTACTGTATATACTCCTTGGCCCTATATCCTCCTAACCACCCCCGTCCACCCGTCGGCATCCCCGCCTCCACCGCGCTGTCCGTTGAAACCGGCGGCGCGCTCGCACTGGCCGCCGCCGGCATGACCAGGGGTGCTTCGCCACTGAGGGTCTGCTGGCGAGAGCGGGGGCACTCGCTCAAGTCGAAGACCGACAAATCGGATGAGACGTTCCTGGCGACGCGGCGGGTTCAAGCGCGACGCGGCCCTCGCCAACGTGGCGAGGGTGTGTTGGAGTCCGGGGAAACAGGGGGACGAGCAGGTGGATTGGCGGGAAAAGTGGTGGGAAAGAAGGAGGACCTTTTTTGCCTGGGCCGAATGATAGGTGGATTGCATGAGGCTTCATAGCGGGGCTTGCTGGGGCTTTCTGGGTCCTGAAACATCTCCCGTCTCGGTCTTTCGGGGCGGAAGTTCACCCGAAAGACGCCAGCCGGTGACGCCGGAAGGCCGGACTGCAGAGAGGAGGATTGACATGACGGAACCCATAGACTCCATGTATGCCATATATGCCGCCCCATTGGGGTGGTTTGGGGGGTCAATGGGGCAGCATGTATGCCAGTCCCATGGAGTGTATGACGGCATGTCATCCAGGACCGCAGGTCCAAAAACAGGTCCTCTAGACTTGGAAAGTCACGGCAGCATGGGCCATGGGTCTATCCCAAGCGGCCCAGGACCCGTTGTGGATGATAATGGTCAGATGGAAGGCCTTTCTGGAAAGTACAGACCCAGTGACACCCCACAAGGAGTACGATCCATGTTGTCTGTTTCCCACTCTTCAAGCATCTTTTTGAAGCATCGATTTGCATCGTTCAGCCGTAAGAGAAAGAACATGCAAGGAACTGACTCAAGAAACCCTTATAGTATATCTGAACAACAATGACACATGAAGAACCATTAAAAAAAACACGGCAAGAGACCCCAAACAGTGTGTCTGTGTGAGGGCTGTAAGAACCCCTCAGTGTGCCCACACTGTTTGGGGATGCAAATGACAACTCCCCCCGTCGCTTCCGACCTCACCACGCGCGGGTGCTGCGGCAGCGACAGCTGCACGGAGCCGCTCTCGGTGGACACGGCGGCGCGGCGGTTGGGCGGCTGCAGAGATGCGGAGTCCAAGGGAAGAACCACCTGAGAGGTGAAGAAAATGAACAGCTCATCCGAACCCCCATTGCGTTTGAAGAGATTATATATAACTGGGCCAAACACATATATGGAAAGTATTCCTCAGCTTTGAAGCCGCGGTCTTGGTTGATACCTCGAGGATGGGATCAACGCTTAGCAAGAACCGTTTCTTCTTGGAGTCTGCAACACCTGAACCCTGAATATGCCGCTCCTGCTGTTTAAAAAAGAACGTCCATCTGGCCCTACCATATATCGGGACTTGTATCGGGTGATTGTCAAGTTGCAGGTCCCGTGCCATCTCAAAACAAGTGATATAATATAAGTGATATACTGTAAATCTTGTATATATCAAATGATCCCCACTGTTAGCTAGTTTGCTGGGACACAACATCAACGTCCAGCTGTTGTGGGCCAAGTTGCTGGAGCTTTCAGCCTTTGGCGCGTCTCCTTCTGCGTCTCCCAGTTCCTGGTCACGCGCACGCGCGAGCACGGCGCGAGTGCGGGTCACCAGTCTGGACCCTATAGCTACTATAGCAACCAGCTTCAAGTGAGGGGAGCAAAGTGCCCGCCTGGCAGCCACACAACATAATCCCAGTTACGTGGACATGGATGGGCATGGCCGGATGAGGAGCTGGAAGCTCCCCTCCTCGGGCTCCAGCACACCTCCCGGACACACGCGCCCAAGCTTCTCTCGTCGCTCCAGCTTCGACAGCTGCAGCTCCAGTGCCACGGCACGCTCTAGGGGCCGTCGTGCTAAGGTCTCAATGCGGATGAGGTCCTACACATAAAAGAACGGGAAGAAGGATGAAGAAGGAACGAGGGGGAGTGTTGCCATCGGTACCGATTGACCTATTGCTTGTGCACGAACGGGGGAGTGTTGCCTCTATCAACCAACAAACGGTTAAAAACATGCATAAACAAGATGTAAAAGTCATCTGGGTTGTAGAGGAAAATGGTTTTCCACCAGTCCATTCTCAGCTTCCATGTTAGTTTGTGGGAGGGTATGTTCCTGCAAAACGCTGAGGGGTGGGACAAACAAAGCCTACAAAAAGCTAGCCTGGTGCTTTTGGAACACCACCCTGGCAAGACAAGTAAAAGAAACGCAGCTGAGGGGTGCTGTGGCAACATCCCGAGATCGCCAGGGCTTATTGCCTAGGGATTAATGATGGGCAACATGTTTTTTTTTTCTCACCCCCTCAGTTTTCCTGGAAATTAAATGCATATCGACCTCTGTTCTTGTTTCAGTGAAAAACAAATTCCAAAAAGAAGGTAAACATAGGGTATTTAGTTATATAAAGGTTTCCCGCTGGTTGTCATCATAAATGGAATACGCAACTCTCCAATAACTAGAAGTGTCTGAAGGTACCCACCCTCACAAAACCATTCTTCCTTGTAGAAATGCAAGTTCACAAACTCCTATACTCACAAACGAACACATTAAAATTGAAGTGGGAGTGCTCACCCATATGTAGGTTTTGAGCCGCCTTTCAACCTCTCAGAATGAAAATCCTCCACATCAAAACTGCAAAAGGTTTCCTTGAACCGAAAAAAAACCTTGGATGAGTGAACCACTATGGAATAAACATCATACGGCAAACCAACATGTTCCACGTCATTCCAGCACCATCTGTGAAAGCAACACCATCTCAAGAGCTCAAAAAGGAGGCACCAAATGTGAGTACATACCCAACAACCATCCCCTTCTGAAACTTCTGGTTCCCCCCCTGTGTTCCGGTCTCATCCGCCCCGGGTCGCATCCGGCCTTGATGTAGGCCTCCTCATACAGCACCCAGTGGCTTTCGAAGAGTGAAATCGCCCGCAGCACTTGAGCCGCCGCCGGCAAGTCGAGCGCGGCGCGGGCAGTGGGGGGTGGGGTGCCACGTGGCGCGGCCTGTGCCAGAAGTTGGCACAGCTGCAAGAAGCACCTGAAGTTGAACGAGGGAGGACGTGAGAGGTGAACACGTTTGCAGCAAACAAACGGTTCATATTAATTTGATTGATTTTTCTACCACAGTGGCAGTTGCGAACCTTATTATAAAAACTTTTCCCATGCACAAATAACTTTCCTCACCATACTTTACAACCAGCTTCGATGCATTCTTTAGAATTCTGGACCTCTCCGCCAAAGAGCCTAGGCCATTGTATGATAATGATATGGACCTAGACACATCTTCAACGGGAAGTCCATGAACACCTCGCCTGGATAACATTTCGCCCATCTGCAGAGTCCACGGGCTGATGTGGTGCAAATGCCCATTCACCCACAAGTCCGGGTCGTGCTGCAAGGCCGCCGTGAGGATCTCAGGGCGATAGTTCACCTCCTGCGATGGTAGACTGGCAGGACTTCGGTCGCTGTGGAAGTAGTTTTGGTCCGGCCGTGAACTGTTTGGATGGCGCCTGAACACTAGGATGGGAGTTGGAAATGGTTCCCAAAGCACCCAAGTTGGATGGACATCTATGACGACTGACATAGTGCATCTCATCTTGACCTACAAACATGGTAGTTGAGCTGGCGCTAGGTCTGAGTAAAGAAGGACCCGACAAACAAACAAAAAACGCACGACACGTGAAGGATGGCACAGGTAGCAGGTCCAGTTCACACCGAACTTCATCATTCACCTACTGCAAATCAAACCCGAGAAGGAATGTAACTGTTGGTCACCCAAACATCTGCAAATGACCCTGGAACAATCACAAACCTTAAAAGCACACTATAACTATATATACCCCTCTAGTGTGACATCATGTTGATGAATACACCCTCCCTGAACACTAATCAACCAGGAGTCACAAGTCGGGCTGTCGAACTTCGGAAGTCGGGGTGCCCCCTGTCACATCCATTCACTAGCTACACACCACCCCGACACGTGACTCCTAGAGCGTAAACCTTCTTCAACCAAGAAATCTCTGGACTGTTGCTGGCTGGGCTGGGCTGAGGGGGTCCCTTACCCAAACGCTCCATGGGACTGCCATAGATGCCGATCAGTTGGGGTGGTTTGGGGTGTCAATGTAGGGCATATATTTCATACATGGAGTGTATGGGTTATGGATTCAAAGAGCTTGGGAGCGTCATCTTGGCACCTCGATCGGTCTCGTCAGTGGCACCTGGCCCAAGAGCCTCACGTAGTTCTCGGTGAATTCTCTGCCTTAAGGCGCTTTGAATTCTCTGACGCTCCAAATCACTATGATAAGATTATATAAGATTTCGTGCTTTGACTTGAACACTTCAAGTTCAATGACGTGACAGCATGTGACAGCTACTTTTATATAATTTATATATCTCAAAACCTTTCACAGATCTCACATGATTTGACCCTCAACAGTGAATTAGACCAACAACTTTGACAATGCACTTGAGCTCCTCAAGCGGTCACACCGTACAAGTACATGTCAAAACAGGCCATGCAGGGTAGATGTCATATGATATGATGTAATAACCTACAAGTGAGGATACCATAGGATGGAAACAAAAAGGCTAAATGTGGGAGATGCTGTTGGGAGTGTCCGGCTATCATGAAGTCAGCTATTATACTTTTGTAGGTTCTAGAAAAAATTCCGTACCTCGAGCATTTGAATATTATGAAACCAAATGAACAAGCACAAGCAACATGAAACAAATTTCGGAACAACATGGAACAACATAGCAGCAACTACTACAGCACATATCAGCTGTACTTTGTGACCCAATGGTGATGGCGCCTCTCTGAAACAAAATCATTACCTGATGTGCTTCTGTCAGCTGAACCTAAACACCCCCCAACCAAAAAAACACATGCCAAGCGTAACGCGGCGTAGTGACCTATTCTGCTCGCTTCTTGGAGGTTGAAGAATGTTCATGTGAGGGTCTTCAACCAAAGACTTTTGCAGTTTTGCCATGCATTCTGATGTGTGCCTGCAATGCACCTGACTGTTTATTGCTTCCACCGCGTTGTTGCGCAATGGTGCCACTGCTTGCCTTTGTTGGAACTTGATGTACGAACGTCTTCCACCTTTGATCCTTTGCTTGCATGCAGTAATATGTCGTCTGGCTGTTGGTTGAACATGCAGTCCTTCCACAACAAACAGCAGAAGAATCTCGAACAACACAATATCCTGCAATTTCCCACATTCTTTATGGTGATTTGGCGAAACTTAGGATCTCATAGATTCTACCCATGATCTGACGACCCCCGTTTTCCGTCCTCTTCCATTTGCGGGAGCCACTGCCCCGTTCCCGTCGCCGGCGTCGCCCGTGGGGAGCCGCGTCACGATAGCTGCGGTCGGCCGGGCGCACGTGGAGTGCGCGCATGGCCGAGCGGACAGCGGGAAGCAGCTGTGGGTCGGGACCATGCAGCTGGTATTGGGCCTCGGTGACTGAAAATGTTAGGCGCGCGGAAGAGCACCCACAGGCTGGGAAACCGCCAAAAGCACTACCCTGGGGGGGGAATGGATTCAAATTCAGGCATCATCATGTTGCAGGGGCCCGGGGATTGACTAGTTTGGATGATTTGGGTTGAGGTGCAGGAGGTCTTCAATAAGAACCCTAAGGATCCACATATCTTCTCACAAGGTACTTGGAGCCTCCTGGCGCCAACCGTGTTTCCAATCACCCTCTGTGCGGGTATGTGTTGGGTCTATCCTATTACCTGTAACAGTGGATGATGATGGTTAGGTCGCAGGCCTTCTTCAAAAATGATGATTTGCTTGTTTACGGGTCCCGTTACAGGTACATTAATAGGACAGACTCAAGGTATATATGTGGATAGACAGACGGAAAGGCGGGGAATCAGTTGATCGACTTGGCGGCCCGCTGATGGTGCCTGAAGTGCCCTACACATCCCATCGCAAAGCAGTCACCTCTACCCCTCGCAGCTCATGAGTCCAGTCCAGTGGCCTGGTATGCCATGCTAAGGACAGTGAGATGGACCTGCTAGGGTAGCTTGCTTGGGTTTTTCTTGAAGTACCAAATCACCTGGATGATCTTCAATGATGTTCATGCCCCCTTGCCTGGCTTAAGGTCATGGACCACTCTGAGAATCCCTCATATGCAAGCCTGCCAGTTGCAACGAACATGTGGAACACTTTTTTGAAGTAAAGGGAAGTCCTTTGTGACGGGACACCATGTCTTCCGGGAAAACATCCATAGCACCGGAAACATGGTTCAGTCGTCCTTTGCGATGTACAGCATCTTCAAACGTTCATTTGGAAGAGCCAGTTGCAGTGAGTTGCCATCTACCGAGCTGCCATGAGTTGCTGAAATGCAAGGCTGCACGTCGCTGCCGGTGGTGTGGAGGCACCAGAGCCCATGGCGATCAGCAGTCGGAGCTTTCAATGGATAAGACAAAATCGGAGCCGAATTCCTGCGGAACCCGTGCAGGCACCCGTGTCTGCGGTATAATGATACCTGTGTGTGCCAGCAATGGTACCATGCAAGCAGTTGGCCAAACAAAAGCCTGGCTGCATCGCTGGACTGGCAGAGAAGGAAGCATCTCCCAGGGGTCACAGCTGTTTTCTAGAACGAACAAAGCATAAATTAAATATATGTAGATCTTTGGTTGGTCACACCTTCTTTAATTGTCAACTGTTCACGGTACACAGTCTTGCCTTCAATGGGGGCGTCCTCGGGGATATGTTATATCAACAATATATGTATCATCATACATTCCTTTATATAGCTGATTATAGACTGTCGTGCTTGCAGGTGCAAATGAAGTAGACATGCTTCAAAATACCCGGATCTACCATACCCCACCAGGTCTCTTGTAGGGGGGTTCGTGGCCATGTCCTCCAGGGTGGCTCTGAGCAGGGTCTTGGGGAACCGACGAAATTGATGCTTTCCCAGTTCCAAACTTGGGTGTGTCCGAAGACAAACAGTGCCACGTCTCCCTGCAGGATTCTGGAAGCAAATGCTCCCAACCAAGCCAAATCTCAAGCCATCTGGCTCATAAGACCAGCTGGCACAAGCTGACTGTCACAATAAAGAGCTTGGAAAACAAAACTGCCTTGAACTGCACGAAGCACCAAACCTGATCGCAGCCCACATGTCTCATCAGACCTCTCGGCTAGACCGGCCCACCTCGGCCAAGCTCCCCACCCAGTGGTCCGCGTCTGTTCTTTCGGTTTGCTTCGTCTCTTGACCGGTCGACCAGTCACTGTTTAGACTCACATCTGTCAAGACAAACGCCACCAAAAATAGCACTTGACGACATGATGTGTTATTGATTACGTACATTTTTCTACTATATACTTCTGGTGGGGTCTCGACATCGTCGCGAAATCACTGCCATCGCTGGGTTGGAGTTGGATTATGGTGTTTCTCTCTTTGGTTCATTGTTTGTCGTTCTGTGAACTTATACCATTCTCGGTCCATGACTTGGTGCATCTTATGAATCACAGGTGAATCATGGTCCGTAAACCGACCCAACATCCTCCAGTTTCGCTCTTCTCCAGGTGCTAAGACTTTGAAGGGATGGCAGGTCAACTGGCTGGTCATCGCACTCGGATTGCCCGAAAAAGACCCGGTTGGAAACCTCATCGACCTGGCCCAGTCGTCCATTCCATGTTTTCTGCGGGGGAACCGTTGCGCCCCCCCTGGTTTTGGACCCGTGGCCATATCAAGGTGCTCGAACAGTAAGAGATTCTCAACAATTCCGACACTGGCAGTTCTGTCTTCCCTGACTTGGGCTGGTTGAGAGATACCCATCTTTTAGAGAAAGGGTCAGGAAATACTGTGAATCCCCCAAACACAAACTCACATCACTTCGAAGACCGCCGCGTAGTGCTTAGTTCGGGTGCCTGATCAACATCTCATCTCTCGCATGGACAAGGGTGGGCGCGTGGACGCGACGTCACTCTTTGACAGCCACAATGGCTCGGGACAAAGTCGCATCAAGCTGCTAGCTACATGACACGGCCATTCGCACAGCAACAGGAGGGACAAAAGGCTTGCGTCTTCTGAAAACAGCATCTTTCACAAATCAATGAGATGCGTAAGATTCTGTGAGTTGAAGTTCATCGGAAGGAAAAAGGAACAAAGAGAGCATAAGGACCACCCATATCATAGATGTATATATATATATCATATCACCCACAAAGTGGTGTATTTCTAGACTATCTAGACTATAGACCAAAGCCTTGGGCAAAAAAAATAAAAAGAGGTAAAAAAAACACTTTGAGCAAGCCCCAATCTGCAGTAGCAAGATTAGCAAGGCTGTCATCATGCATGGCGACTGAAAGGCAGCCCAAAGCGCGGGAAGAGTTCTCTGAGTTCTCATCACCAGGCACCAGGAGAGATTGGAGGCTGACCAAAGTGCTGCAGGATGTGTTCAACCAGCAGAAGCACACTAATATGTCTCACCGCGACTCTTAAATCAAGTTATATACTCCAGGCAACCCCGGCAACCCAATCCCAAAGCGTTCAATCCCTCCTGGCCCTCTTGTACACCTCATGCGTAGCCCATGCAGCATGTGCCCACGTGAGCCTGGGGGGTAAACCTTGCAAAAGAATAACCGCCCAACAAAACAAGCTTGATGTTCAACTTTGCACTTGACACGTCGTCCACATCTTGATCCAGCGCAGTGCTCTTCTGACCCAATCCTCGCGGCGGCATGTGTGTCCAACCTCACGCTGTTTTGGCCTCCGGGACTTTGCTCATCACACGTCCAGCCTTGCGAAATAAAGCAACACTAAGACCGGCTGCAAATCCCTCAGGTGGGGGGGGGGCGAGCTCCAGGATCGATACACCCTGGAAGGGGTCCACATGCCACCCTGAACACCAAAATCGTCTTGCAAAGGAAAAGCGTCTTCCAGTCTGGTGCATGCCGTTCGCCCGGTTGCATGTGGGTCTCAACCACCGGGTGTAGATTCACTGCTTCGATCCTGCAGAAGCTTCGGCAGTTTCCGCAGCACCGAACGCCACTCGTTGGTGGGGAAAACAATTCTCCCCACTTGTTCAGGTTGGATATCCACCGTTTATCACTTTTCCTATAGGTTGTTCGGTTTTCTTCGTCCTTGAATGCATTTCCCCCAACAAAAAAAGTTATCCAAGACATCAACATTTTCTGGATCATGTCCAGTCTGCACAGTCTCCCCTCCAGACCCCCTGAGCAAAGGATCACAGAACCCACGCAGCTGCTTTGCAGCCCGGAGTTTGACTCGAGCCATCTCAGATCGGCGGATGATGGATTGGGGTCAAGGTCAAGGAATTGGGAGATTATTATGCATGTCAACCGCCTAAACCCTATAATTTTAAATCATTGGTGCATCCTATAAAACAACCTCTGCAAGTCTCTGAGATGTCATGACGTTATCTGCTATATATCGATATAGATATATCTATATTTTAGAGACCCCCATTTTGCACCCGCGCGTGCCAAACCGACTGAAAGAGGACATGGTCGTCCTGGTCGCTACGAACGCTGCTTGGCAGCCTTGCGCCTCACGGGTGTGCAACACGTGGGCGTCCCTCGGATGGGCGATCGGCCATGGGCGTCCCTCGGCGAAGGAGCTGTTCACCGACAGCTGAGGCAGCGACAGCGGGCGCTAGCTCGCGACCGCTTGAAACAAACTGCCTCCCTGGCCCGCAGGGGTTGGAGATGCATTCATGAACCGAATAGAACCTGAGATAGTCTCCATGGAGAGAATATGGAGTCTAGGGTAGCCGCGTAGCCCAACATGATCTGATTGGGTTCCATACTTTTTGACAGGACGTCAACAAAAGGCCCAAACTCCGTCAATCCAACTGGCAAAGGCCTGGGACCCCACTATATATTATATATATACCTTAGGATCCAGCCACCCTCATTCTGTACATAGTTGCACCACAACCACAACGGGACCGACCAGTTCATAGGACCGACCAAAACTGACCCTCTGACTGCAGTTCGGTGGCGGAAGAGGGGCCGGGCAGTGAGTGGAGAAGGGGCCGTCAAAAGGCCCTGGCGGAGGACTGGGATCAGGGATGATCAGGGGAAACAACAGAAATTCGATTGGTTTGCCCAATTTGGTTCCAAAATGCTCCAAAGATTGTTTTCTGACTTCAGGGTCCTTGGGAGGCAAATGCTCTGAGAACCCTGATCTGAGCATAAAAGTGACTACGAGTCGCGAGACGACGCCGAAGACGAACGTTCGACGTCTGGGTGAAGGTCAATCGACGCGACACATGACAAGCAAACATACGTTTGTTACTAGTAATTGTAAGTATGCACGTATTGTTCATGTTTGTTATATGTACTGTCTTGTATTACTAGACTCAGAATGTATGTTTAAACACTAGTAATTGTAATATCTTGGTTATAATATTATTGTTAGAGATATAATGTGTCATCATCGGGTGAGGATCTTGGTGTACCATCATGAAGCCACAAACTCCAGGTCATACAATCCATTCGGGGTCTGACAAACATGAGTTCAAACCGTCGGTTGCTCTGAAGAAAACAAACGGACGGCATTGGAATATGGGGGTTCTCGACGTCCATGTGATGCATTCGCAGCCGACATCTTTTTTGCCGGTTGTTACTGCTACTATTATAGCCTAGCTTGGGTCTATCCCATTACCTGGGCCCAGTGGATGATGATGGTTCAGTTGCAGGCCTTGTTCAAAACATGATAATTGTTTACTGACTGTGATAGGTGAGTTCGGACAGACCCTAGCCACAGCCCTTCAACATGATGTCACACATGTTGCCCTCACGCCTGCGGGACCCGCAGAGGCTGGCTCCTCTCGGCCACGACCTGAGGCGTTGTGGACGCCGAAAAAAGGCGCTGCCGCGCGGCGTAGAGTCGAGCGTAGCGAGTCTGATGGCAAGGTCACTATCGAAGTCCTATCGATGTAGACAATGTAGACTGTTGATTCAAGTTGATGAATTAAGCTGAAACCAGTTAAAACAAAAAGACTACACCTGGATAATCGATGGTATCACGACTTGTGGACGGCGCGTCCCACAGAACAAACTACGGCTGTACATGCGTGTGAGACGAACATAGTCTGTGAACTGGATGACTGCTAGAGCTCTACCTACACTTGGCACCGGTTTAAGACGCGGGTTGAAAAGCAGTCGTAGGTTAAGCCAGGAATGAGGCATCAAATCAAGCCAACTTATTAGGCAAAGGAAAAGGAGGGTTCAACAAGCTTAAATCGAAATGTTGTTGCGCATGTTCAAAAGCGGCTGCGCGAAAGCGCCATTGTGTATCAAAGCTCAACTCAGTTGTTTGGTCAAACAGAACGCCCTGATTGGTCATGTTGATTTGGATGCGTTCATGACTGGAAAACGGCGGATCGTGTGCCATATCCATCTGGAAGAAGTTTTCATAGTGGGTTCTGCATTGGGCAAACTTAGTATGTATCAGTAAATGCCCAACAGTGGCAAGCTATTCGCTCCGGATCTCATGAATGGAATAGCGTCAAATTTTGGCAACTTGTTCCAAATGCTTGACAACTAATTACTAGGAGCAACTGAATATCTGAGGTGCAAAGTTGAATAGAAAGTGTCTCTCCATCTGCTTGTCAGGTTTTCAGGAATGTGCTGGGCAGTGTAAAGAGTAAAAGGTAAAAAATGATAAAAGGCAATGATTGTCACCAGCTGATGCCACAGCGGGCGCTACGTCGACTGGTGTTTTAGGAACATCGAGGCCGGCTTGATTGTTGCCACCTCCCCAAAAGCACCAGAGTAAAGCATCATCCAAGGCGAAGTAAAACACTTTTCCACCAGAGAGAAAAACACCATGCAGGAAACCCTGGTTTCCATATCGCAGGAGAATGGTGAAGTCAGGTGGAACGCCGGGTGTTCGGTCCGGAGCGGAACTGGCGCGGTCTGCGGATTCGGATCCAGCAGGTGGAGAGGAGTGAGAGCAGGTAGATGAGAGTGACTGGTCGTGTCTCTTTGTGATTTTGTGGATATTATATAGGCGCTATATTAAATTCGACCATGCTTCACCATGCTTCGACTGGGAACAAAAAAGGCTGGCGATGGTGTTTTTCCCCGCCAGGGACCTATCCTTTGGAGAGGACATGTTCTCTTTCATGCTCTTTCCCCCTTTGGGACGAACTTTCGTGCTCCATCTTCGCTCCATCAAGCGTCAGGACCATGAGTAGACACACATAGACACGCCAAGCTCCCAAGTGAATCACCAAAAAAACACCAAGCTTCTGATTCTTCAGTTCGTGACCAAACTTTGGAGTCCCCACCAAGTGACCTGTTACAGGCCGACCGTGACCGAAGCAAACAGGATGTCGGTCGTTTCGGTCACGTACGGAAGAAAACAACATCTGACCTCTGACGTCTGACGCTGACTCTTGCCGGAGTCCAGCCGGCTGATGAACAGTAACGAGGAGGGCTGGTTTTTGCCGACTCGTGGGGACTGCCAGGACCCGTCTGGGACTGCCAGGACGGCCTCTCGAAGCGGCGCCAGGGGGGTTGAGTCACTGGGGCGGCAGTCCGTCCTGGCAGGTGCTATGGATCCATGGAGTGTCTGGGACTGGACTTCGACGGGTTTGGGTGACACTCAAGCTCCCCGCGGGCGACAGCCGCACCTTCTTAAAGGTGTTTGCAGGTGCCAGGAGGGTCCAGTCATACCGAACCTGAGCCCTACAGCAGCTTTAGAGCCCACCCACCCCCACTCACTCGTGACCCTCCACACCTTTGTTGCCACGGCACCGGTGCTCCTCCGCTGCACCGACCGGTGAAGAGGCACAGCGCCGGGATCACCTGGGCGGAGTCCAAAGCGGTTCGGTCTGACTGGACCCGACTGGCTGGCACGCGGGCGGCCCAGTTCCACCGGAACGATATGGGGGTATAGATCTTGATTAGTTAGACATCCCTGATTATTGTCACACTGAGAGGGAAACACTTAAATGATGAAGAGTCTACATTATCAGAGCCAGGGGGTTGGGTTCAAAAAATGATCAAGAGTGGTTGGGTCATGTTTGCAAGATCATCCGATTCTCTTGAGATCTTCTCATTCCCCACGCCATCTTCATGTCTTCAGTCCGCGAATCCTGTGTTGTGCTAGTGCAGTGATCCGCAGTGTGCTGTGCAGTGGTCCACGTTCGCGACTTGGAGTGTGGATGTGCATCCAGTGGATGTACATCCACCCATCTAGCTGGACTTGCTCAAGTCTTTGCCCCGCGAACAGAAGCGGTGAGCCACATGTTGAAGGCCTCCAAGCTCCAAAACTCCGGGGCAGTGGCAAGTTTTCTGCGCATGGCCGGCATAGAGTGCACAAGGGGCATCTACGTAAATTCGTAAATTGCATTGGCTTGGGAACCGAATGGCGGCCCCAAATATCCAAGATATCTCTCATCCCACAAAATCCATGTGTCCAGCGCACCAAAAAAACTCATCGATCTTTTTGTCCCTGAGCCTGGCTAACAAATCCACACCTCCAACATCGTCACCAAGGAGCTGCCAGCAGGGCTCTTGAACTCTGCCGGCCACAGGCAGCAACATGAGGTGCCGCGGATGTCGATGAAGCGTACCTGGGCAGCCAGGGATGTTGATGAAGTATGCCTAATCCACCAAAAAGGATTGCAAACATGATGTTCTTGAACATGTTTAAACAAAGGCTTTAGACAAGGATAGAACAGGTATGGATAGATGATAGAAGAGGTATCATATAAAAGCTTATTTGGGGGATGCAATGGGTATGCCAGCAGTGTGCCTACCCAAATGTGGAAACACATACCATGCTGTAGCCTGTTGCATGGGCAAGCAGCGCAGTCCATGATGAATCCTACATCTGAGAGTTGTCATCAAGCAATCTATAGTAGGTGGCTGCTTTTCTGAACTAATGCCCTTCAATGCTTGCCCTGATTTGTTTGCTTCAAAACTTACATATGAGCCCTACACCCACCAAACCCCCAACTTAGCCCAAACCCAGCTCCGCAACCCCTTTTGGAAACCAATGATATCCTATGATGCTTCGCCCCTCATGTGTGCTCAAACACCTCAGCCAGGCTGCCCATTGGTAACGACTTCAACTTCATCTTCCTCCTGCGCCGACAGAGCGTCAGCCCGACACCATGGCCGGGCATGGCCGGGCACGGCACCCCAGGCTGGAACCCACCCCAGGCAGGCCCGACGATGTGCTGCCAACAAAGTGTTTACGGTTTAAAACCACACGGATTCCGGGTGTCCATTAATAGCCCCTTAGATGTCGTTTGGGGTGTCCATTAACCACCCCTTGGGGGTCCAGGTATGCGATTGGCGATGCTATTGTCTCTCCGTCAATACGAGTGAAGAAGAGTTCAAAGTCGTGAGCGGACCTCAGCCCGTGTAACACGAGGTCGGTCCAATCCAGCAGCACGCTTCAAACGGTACTGGATGTCTTTCGCCGCCAGGCGACTCCGCCAAAAGTCAACCATCTGAAAACATCAACGAGCTGGCCATGGGGTCCCCCCCTACGCCTGATTGAACAAGAACGCCCAGGTTAAATCAAGCTTAAGGACCTAAGTGAAAAAAGCGACCATCTCCACCCAAACTCAAATCGGATTTGAACCATTCGACCTTCCAAAGAATACTCTTGTCCTAGTTTTGAGATCCAAAAAAGTTCTCAAGTTAGGACTTCAACGAAAACTGGACGTGCTTCTTCACGGTGCGACGACCTCCACCACTCCGCTCTCCAGCGCTTGCTCAGCGCTCAAAAGCCCCTCGCGCACCAAAGCGCCACGGATGCGAGCAACGCTCCAGCCCAAAGCTTCTAATTCCTCACGAGGCGGAGGTAGCTTGTGGCGCTTGCTGGGTGCTTGATGGTGCTTGCAGGGTGATTTCAAGGATTTTTTGGCATGGGCAGCGTACACAGAAGTACAATAGTCGTTTCCTGGTTTGCAGTTTGAGCATTTGGAACCACTATTGCAACCTACCCCTCTTTGGCACGTGGTCGAGCAGTTTCCATGTTCAATGCGCGCCGGGACTTGGACCGAAAAACCGTCGGAAACAGCGGCTCCGACGGAAAGCAAAGAAGAATGAGCAACCCCTTCCTACGAAGGAGCAATATGTCCCTCCCCAGGCCCACAACATGGACCTGGATGCTTCCCCCGAAAGCACCATGAAGACCAATCATTCCAATACATGCTAAGATGGTGATGTTAGCTCTTCCAGGTGAAACTATACCAACTTCTACATCCGCCACTCCTTTGTCCTCACCTCAAGTTGCTCTTCCTTAGAGGAACAAGGCAATGGACTGAAGATCTCAGGGTCACATGGGATACAGGGCCTCTGATGCCCTCAGCAGTGCCCTCAGCCTAGCCTCAAACCCTCCAACGAACACATCACATGGAAGTGGAACATGGTCAAAAGAGACTAAGCCCAGCAGGGTGAAATCCACTTCGGAACCCGACTCTCAGTGTACTTGGGCCTTCACTTCTGTGTCCAACCGTTCCACCTTTCCTGACATGCCTTCAGGAAGACCGGCGTCGACCGCCGTGCCGTGTCCTCCGACCCCGTGTTCGACTTGTCACAGTTGCTGCTTGATCTTCTTAGTTACCGAAGTGCCGTGTGAGCTTTCAGGTCCACGGTTCCCAGAAATATGCTTGTTACTACCCTGGGAGTCAAGTCGGCTATAAAAAAGAATGGTCTCTATAGGTGACCCCAAAAAGGAATTTCCTGTACTTCAGTTGGTCAAAATTTAGTCTTTGGACTTCTAGAGACTATGCTTGCTTGCATTGGCATGCTGGATCCTTTACTTCGGAAATTCGGCGAGTTGCTGGCGTGGCTTTGCTGAAGTTCCATCCATTGGTTTCTGCTTGGGACTGGGGTTTCCCAGCTTGCGCTCAAACAAGCTTTGCAGGTCCCCAGGACCCGGAAGCCTCCGGAAGCCTCCGGAACACCTCCGCCCAGGCGCCCGTTGGCGCTCCGCCTCCGGCATGAAGCTTCGAAAGTGGCTCAAGGCCTGGACCGGAGCTCGGACTCGCCACAAGCAAATGCGTCGCCAGAAAACGCGACGGGCACTGCCCAGGCATTGGGGTGGTTTTGGGAAGAAAATGGTCGCCTTTTACAGGGTGGAAAGGTTGGGACATGTGTGATCAACATGTTGACATCATTAGGTTGAGCATTTCAGCTCTACGCCTCGCCTGCTACTCAACGCCAATTTTGTTTAAAAAAAACTAAACACACACTTGATTCACCTGTCCGGTTAATGGTTGGGTGCTCGTTTCAGCCTTCACAAACATCTTGCCCTCCCAATAGATCTTGCCACAGCCGCCGCAAAGCCAAAACCTGGAGATCGCCCGCGCGAGCACGACCGAGTCGGATAGCCCTCGCGATGGTGGGCTGGTGGTGGATCCGGCACCCGTCGGAGTGTGGAACACCGTGGCGTGGCATTTTTATCGTAAGGGATGTGGGCACCAGGGTCGTAGCATGTGTGCAATCGACCTGTCAAAAGTGCATAGATCTGCATGGGTTATGACAGAAGCATCCTAGACTTGATGGTCTGGACTTGCAAGTGCTGGCAGTCTTGAAAGGTCAAATACTGGTTCTCAATCTCTCTGGTTAATTCAAGGAGTTTGGCAGCTGGTGACCAGGCTGGGTAGATACATCTTCAAATCAGAAGAATTTGTGATTTTATTTTTACATTCAAATGTCTCATTGTTCCTCCATTGACTCAAGGCCTCACAACCAAGGCATGACTGTTTTTGGGTCAGAGGATGGCAGCTAACCTTAACCTTACCTATAGACATTTGGGTGCGATGCTCTACACAACAAGAACGTAGAGCAAAGGAAAACATGTCAAGGATCTCCTGACTGGTGACGAGCAAGAATCTGCGGGGTCATCCGGATCATTTGGAATTTGGGAGAACATCTGCTCGGACGGGAAATCAGAGTTCGTCACCCGATGCGAGATGGAAAATCTTCTGGGTTCGTTGATCATGAGGTAGTAGAGTTACATCATGTTGCATCATAGTACATCCACATCACATACCAAGCACCTACTGACTACAGGTGAATCATACGATCAATGAATGAAAGCAAAGCTGGATCATGGCAGAACTGCAAGCGCTACATGTCAAATGTTCAGCAACTTATCCGCCCTTTCCACGGATCACTTCGCCCTCCAGGCAGCTCATCGAAGCTCTCCAAGGTCTTTTCAGCCACCTGTCTCTTTTGAGCGACGGCCACCAGGGTGGCCACACCCACACACATCCCGCAATGCGCGGGACGCGGAAGTGTCTGCAAAACGGCGAAGAGCTTGGGCCTGATAAGAATGGTCAAAGTCTGCAGTTCGTCCGACCCTCACGGATCTTCCCAATTTGACACGAGAACGGGTGAAGCGAACTGTCCAACCCCCCAAAAAGAGGTGATCAAGGTTATCTACTGGCTGAATAGCTGTGTTGGGACTGTAGGGCCTTCACCGAGACATGCAGCGAAAACAGCCCCTCAAACCTCAGCGATCCTCAGTGCCGGTCCGATCGCAAACCCGCCTGTGGGTTGTTCTTCACCTGCTCTCGCCCCACCAATTGCCAGTCCCAGGCGTTGCACTGCACACAGCGCCCGCACAAGCAGTCGGAGTCCACGTCCACGTCGAAGGCCTTGTGGCGACGGAGTTGGGTGAAAGGGATGAACGGCACGACTGACGATGTCGGTGGCCTGGATGGGGCGGTGGCCCGGACTTTCGGCGGTGCCTTGATCTAATTGCATGGTGCAATATGGTGCAAAGCAGTTCATATATATGCTCCCTACAGGGCTCGATGTTCTTGTTTTTGTTGCGCCATCATGCGCCAGCTTCACTCAAGTCATGATATGAAGTGAAAAACGTGTTCAATAGATAACCATGGATGCTTAAATGTTAATTGACAACTTCTATGTGATCTATATCGGGTCTATCCTTTTATATATACCAGTAACAGTGGATGATGATGGTTCGGCTGCAGGCCTTGTTCAAAATTTGTGATTTGCCTGTTTAAGGACAAACCCAACTGTATATATTTGGATACTCGAGTGTGAATTTGTTCGATGTGGTATTTAACAACCCTCAACGACGCCTCAATGACCTCTCGCAGTTGCTCGTCAGGAACGGTGCTTCGAAGCATATAAGTGCGGTGCGACACGCGCGCCGGAAGGAGGTTCTTGGTGTTGTAGTAGAGGATGATCCTGGCAGATGGTCATAACATCACAAGGATTTTGCTACAAAACATCACAAAACCATGGTCAACCATTCTTTATGATCCAACGGGAGGTTAGGGACGTGGTTTTGGTTTCGTTGAGGCATGGTGGACAGTGAATAGTTATTATAAGCATTTCTCAAACAGGCATATTCACCTACATTGGAGGTGAATGTAGGCACATGTTCCAGTCCAATGGGGTGTGTGGGGGCTTGAGACATGATTGGATTCGTTGAGACATGGTGCCCGAAGATATGTCAACAAGATTGTGCGCTTTTTTTTACATTCCTCGAAATAATCATGAAAGTGGAACATGGTCCGGATGACCAGCCATTCCTCATACGAAACAGGTGGTTGTCAACTTCCATGATTCTTTCAGGGAGTGCATTTTCCAGCTGTGTGATGGAGCATCACCGTGGTCAGGATCACTGTCCAAGCTTCGGCATGCTTCCCAAAGGGAAGCTACGAGCTTTTGTCTTCAATTCTTTTCCTTCTTTTGGCCTTAAGATGGCCTTGGGGCTGCTGATGTCCACAGGATATTACATAATATTACATTTAATACCGTGACGGACATACATACATGTACATCCTATAATACATCCATATATCCTATCATTGAGGATCAATCTGCTGATGCTCGCGGCGGGCACGGCGCCCGGTGGGTGTAGTGCCACGCCTGTCTTCCTCCTCAGCAGTTTCCACCAGCTCCCGCTGAGGAGAGCCCTCCTTGAGGATTTTGGTGTCAAGGCCCAATCCCCGCAACTTTCCTCAGAGCCGCAAGCTCACCAACACACAGTGGAAGCAGTGGATATCGGATCGGATCTCGTTGAGACCATTTGAGACCAACGATGAGGTGGCTAGAAGCATGTGCTGTGCCGCACTGTTCAGCTGCTAGTGACGTAAGTTTTGAACATCCAAAATGGCAGTGCTATGTTGATCGCCTCTCCACCGCCTCTCCACCCAGCAGAACGCGAGTCACGACATGACTCGAAACACCCAGGACTCGCAGTGCGGAGTCGAAAGCACTCGGAGAGGGTGACCGACCGGTTCAAAACGGTTTGTCCCGGACCGGACCCTGGATTCACAGACTGACCCCCTCAGTTTTCCCTGAGAGAAAAGGTGCACCTTTTTCCACCGTTCGTTTTGTTTAGTGGGGAAACCAAGCCCCAAAAAAGGTTAAAGGTTATCCACAAAGGTTAAAGGTTATCCACTGACTGGGTAGGGAGAGGGTCAGACTCCTTGATGAATAACACCAACCCCCCGAAGATGGATTGAAAAACCCTTTGTCTGCCAGGTGGCACCAAGGGTGCCACATGCCGGCTTGCACACGGTGTGGGACGTGTGCCCCTTTCCCATCAATCAACCCGCCAAGGCTGTAGATGGATGAAGAAAAACACACAAGCACCCGCAGCTCAGTGTCGCATCAAACGGTTCAACGCCGGCGGGATGATGAAGCCTCGAGTCATTGAGTGGAACCGGTCGAGTTGTTGAGCTCAGTTCCACCATCATTAGGTGATTCAAGAGATGGGTTTAAGATGATTTAAGGGAACATCTATACAGGAAACCCTTGTTTTCACCCTTCCTTAACTATGGCTTTCCTAAGTGGGTGGGGTCCTCCTCAAACCATGTCACATCTTTTTTGGGGGGGACTGGCCGTTGAAACACCTGAGGTCACCTCAACAGTGCTGATTCCAAAACACTTCACTACAGGGTGGACCCCAAATGTTAAAGGAGAAGGCAACAAACACCACCACCACAACCACCACCACAACTAAGAACGTCCACAACAACAAGAACCTCCACTATAGAACAACGACCACCACCACAAGAACAACGACACCTGGTCACCGGAGTCAAATACTTTGAAGAACGGAGTCAAACTGGAGCGACTGCAGGTGACTGCGACCGTTTCTCTCGGCCCGAGCCGCACAAGTCGCCGTTCTTCTCCCGTGCTTCGCCGTTTCTCACGCGCGGCCGCTGGCGCTGAGGCTGCTGCCGGTAGCTGTTCCAGCGGTCCTGTGGAGTTTCGCCCCTTTCTTCGAGTCCCAAAGTGGTTTAGCTCAGAACGTGTCAGAAAAGTGTATAATCTGAATATGAATAATGCCTAATAATGCTAATGAATTGTTAATATATGAGGATATATGAGGGATTCTTCTGGTTACATCATACATCTTAGGTGTTGCAGAACATTGGTGGAGCATCTTTGTTTCAACAAGTGCTCCCGGTCTCGTGGTTTCATGAGTGGCGCAGACAACAAGCGCGAGCGCTCGCGCGCCCCAGGGGCGCCTGCTCCTCGGACATCAGAAGGTCCTTCCTTGGCGCGGTGGGCGGCCGCTGGAGCTATAGATGGGACCTGGGAGTCAAAGACTATTAAACACACATGGTCTTTAGATGTCTGACTAGGTGACCCGAGTCCAGGAATTAGCTTTACTTCAGGTCGATGAAAAATAGTCTTTGGACTTCTAGGGTGTAGGTAGGTTGGTTCACTGGGTGTGTGAGTTAGTGAGTTACGTACGGTCGCTAGCAGGCCGCTTGGCGGTACCTGGGCAGTCTGCTGCTTGGTAGTGCGCTGGGTAGCTTGGTCAAGCATATTAGTCTTAGTGGTAGTGGGGTGGGCAAACACATGAGAATAAGTGCTAGAGTGAAATTGGGGGCAGCAATGCCCACAGCCAAACGCAACCGATGAGACCCATCAAACCAAACCCAGAAACCGATCGCTGTCCGGTCAATGCCCACCACATGGGGCACTTGCTCAAGCTTATCATCCACAATGGACGCCTTTGAGATGCCTAAAACGATGAATGAATGATATTAATGTCTCTTTATTGCTCTCTACCTTCTGTGGTCTATCTCCTCCAAACCCTTTCACTCCACAGGTCACAGATGGTCAGAGAAAAAAACATTCAAAGCATTCCAATGCCAGGGGCGGCGTCTCCCCAACCTTAGTTTGGGGAACCGGAAAAGAACATCGCCGCCTTCAGCAAAACCCGGTCCCCTAGCGACCCCGAATTGGGGCCCAGCTTCAATCGCTCGGGCGACTCCTCGGCGCTCCGCTCTGCTCGCAGCCGCCGCTGGGGCAGCGCGCGTCGGTCGCAGCGGTGCAGCCGGAGGAGGACGCTAGCATCCAGCGCTGCATAGGCCTGCGTGGCGAAATGAACCAGTGCCACATGCAAAACATTGTATAATAAGACACAAACAAACGAACGAACAAACAAACAGCTACCATGCTTCGGAATGGGTTTCAGAAGCATTTCAGGAGAAACGCTTCTATAAGCAAATCAAGTTTTAGATGCATGATTCTATATGTTATACATAGTCCAAACTGGGAGCCAATGCAAATTGCAGCATATCAGCCAATTTCAAGACCAGGGAACTGCCAAAGTGAACTGTGGCCCATTTTTGTCGCTATGGTGGTGATACGAGGCAGTGACCTTCACGGCTGCGGATCGCTCGCTCTGCGTCTCCAAGGCATGTCTTTGGTCGGATTCTCCATGGGGAGAAGACGTTGGGAGACCTTTGGGCTCCAAACGAATCTGTTCAGGCGATTCACCCACCACATCCCACCCACCTTTTGGAAGGCCACACACGAATAACTCAGTGCTCATGAAAGGTCACAAGCTCAGCAAAACGAGGCTTTGGAGGGGCATGACGGGGCCCGGCACGGCCGAGGACACACGACGACCACACTGGCCCAAGGTGTCGTCACTTGACCTCCGGATGCATGACACATCTTGACACGCAGAGATACCCAAAACATCCAACGTAACACGTGCATCGAATCATAATCCTCATGTTTCCTCACTTGGAATGGTGTTCACCCGCTGCCTTCGCCTTCCGCGCGCCTTCTGCGCAGTGCTCAGGGGGCGCTGGTCCCAGTTAGAGGTCTGAAGAGACTTGTCCATCCAGTGGCCTAACGCCCAAGCAACCTCAGAGATCCAAACACCAGCACGACGCACGCAGCGTTCCAAACGACGAAAAAGCCGGCACAGGCCAGCTGGGATTGGGCCTGATACACTGATACACCCAATTCTCCCAGCATCAACCCTGCCCAACGAGGCACCGAAGCCTTTGATCTTATCATGTCTTATCCTGATGACATGGGACACCATGGCACATCAATGCTCTGTGGTTTTACAATCAAAAGCCAGCTTCATGCAAAAAGGTGTTACTGTACATCTATCAGAACTGGTCCCAAGGATTTGTGAACCAGAACCATCCATCAGATCTTTAATCCATCATAAGTCTTGTGATCCATAATGATCCATATATACATCTATCTTGACCATCGAGGTCACGTGAGGCCACCCCCAAACCAAGTAGCCACAGCTTGTAGGCCTGGCTGATTGCCAAGGCCCCAGTCCCAGCGTTGCACATCGATCCATCCAAGCTCTTCCAACACCACGTCGCCTAGTAACGTGCAAGCGCAACGCGCAACAACGCCATCGCTTATAGGCGCTTGTGAAGTGCACCTGTGTGGAATTTGTGTGTATGTCGTGTGTGTGAGGCTTGTGGCACATTGAAACCTTTGTACGTAACGAACCAAAGTGAAGATATGAGAACGACATAGACGGACCTGCTAGTTCCAATGTCTGTTTTTAGATGCACAATTCCGGTGTTTTGAAGATGCTTCTGAAAACATCATGATGATGATGATGATGATGTCCTCAACATCGTTGAAACATCTTGTTCCTCACCGGTCCTGCATCCCCGGAGCCCTGCTTCATCCTTTTTCATCCCTCACATCACTCGCCAGGAGCTCCCGGCATTCTTTCGCTCGCTCGCTCGCTCGCTCTCGTCCCCCGAGCGCCATCTGCGCCTGGAAGCAAGCCGGCTTCCTGCAGGCGTTTCTGATCTTCCTGCTGTGCAATGCTCGGTCCGACCGAACCCCCGGTGCAACGACCGGACCCCGGGGGTATCCCGGGGCTGCGGGGACCGGTCGGTTTCTGTTTACAGCTGTGGGGTACCATGGATTGGTGGTCTCATACTCATTGAGTTTTTCCAATCAGATCAAACATGTCTACGTTTTACGTTCCATGCGACGCTCACTTTCTGGTCTTGAGGATTCTTACAGGGTCTCAGCCGGTCTCAGCCTAAACCTCTCTGTTGAACTTTGCCGATTCGTTCAGGGGGGGACACCGACGGACTCTTGAGCCACTTGAATCACTGCACAAGCCGGAACACTGAAAACTCAAATGAACTGTGTATCTGCGTATTTTCTTACCATTCCCACATGCAAATGATAGATCAATCTCTATCTGCGAGGACTTTGCCCTTTGTTGGTTTGGCCTGATTGACCCGTTCTCATCCATGTTCAACAACTCCCAAGCCACGCCCGCAGTGGCCTTCGTCCTTCATTTCCCGGGCGTCCCTCTCACCCCTGGAATGCCATCAGCACACTGCCCTCGCAGCGACCATTTCTCCTTGGGGCTAAAGACCAGGATGTCGTGCTGACCTGGGATTTTCGGCCAGGGTAAACTGGGCAAACACGTCTCCAGAAAGGGACGGATGGATATACTTCTGCCCAGAAAAGTCCTTTCGAAAGGGATTGGCCTCTATTTCGGGAAAAATAACCAAACATCATTCATAGAAAGTCATAATAAGAAAACCCTCTGCGCAACACCAGGTGGCCCACGAGCAGCTTCCGACACCACTCCAGGCTGCTCGCACTCGGTGGACGTACCATGTCGATCAGGAAGACCTGGAACGATCGTCGACAGTCGACTCGGTACTCCTGGACGAGCTGTTGATCCAGTCAGAGGGGTTTAAGTACTACATAATTATGTGTATATCAGTAGATGCGAAAAAAATAGTATATGACTCATGACTAACTTATTATTCTGTTTTAATATAAGGTGTGCATGCAAATTGCAGGGCACACAGAGACAGCATGTTGCAGCGAAGGGTTTCGCATGGTTTCTCCAAAAAAGACCTTTTGGTCTTGCTACCTCCCCAAACCGTCCACAAACGATGGAGGCCCCCCTCACGGAGTCCCGGAGGAAGGAGTGCACTTCCACCACCTCTGCGGGACCAAAATGGACCAAACACCAGTGCTGGAGCTTTCGAAATGAGAACCATGGGTCCCTTTGGTATGGTCACTTGTAAGGCTTAAAAAAAAGGTCACCACTCCGGTCCGATGGTATGGTCACCACTGTCCTTTTTGGGGTCACTTCACCTCTGTTGTTCTTGGAGTCTTCAACCTGCGAGATCGGTCGAGTGTTCAGTTGTCATTCTTCAAGGTGCCCATCACGTCACACCCAAGCTAGGTCCTAGGTAGTGACAAGCTGTATAACAAGCGTCCACGGCGTATCAAAGAGATCCGCCCAGGCAGGAATACATTGTTTTTTTACAGTGGTTTCAGAGATGGCACAAACCCCAAGATGTCTTTCAAATGGGGATCCATATAAACCACCTTTTAGGTGATTGAGCCATCTACTCTCAATCCAGTGTAACATCAATATTCTTGATGTTGGTCTTCATTGAGCTGTCAGGATCTTCCTCAGATCTTCCTGAATCCTCCAAGCAAACCGAATGACCTTTACACTCGATGAGGAAACTCCGAAGCACGAACTTCCCAAAGCACCATGAACCCTCGACCCTCCACCCTCCTTCCGCTTGAAATGGAAGCGCTTCCCCTTCCAACCGCTCCAACCACCGGAACAGCGAATGAACAGCGAACGAACGAACAGTCAAGTCGCGGTGGGAGGTCCGTCGTCGATGGAAACGGCCAGTTGTAGCAGGGAGATGGGATGTGGGTCCGACCACTCCTGTGGCGTCTTTTGGGGAACGTGAACACGAAGTCGACTTCGTCGAAGAGACGTCGATGGGTCGAAGAGACGTCATGGTGTCCAAATGGGGTCGACATGTCCAAGCGAACATGAACTTGATGTTGTGATAGGTCTTATCATTTATGATCTCTTCAAGTCTCGAAGAGATGAGTCTTCAGCTCCCCGTACACCAAGTATTTGTTTCAATCGACTGAGTACTGCATCATACTCGAAACTAAACTAATCATCTCGGCGCTGTAAGGCAGCTAGCAGCTAGGGGCTCGGCTACTAAACTATATAAAATAGATTAACTAATTGCAGTATGTCTGTTAAGTTATGTAATAACATGGCATATATATAACTTATAACCGTGTATAACTGTATACCGCAATATACGGTGCTTCTAGCTCAGAACCTTCCAGAACCTTCCAGGGCCTCCCTCCTCACCCCCCACCACCGAGGTCTCCGCATCTACTGCCACCCGCAGCGACGCAGGGCTCGCAGCGACCGCGGCGCGCGCCAGCTGGACGAGCTCCTCAGCACCTGATCCGCGATGAATGCAGTAAGTAGACATGACCCGACGGGACTGGCTGACTGAGGTCTTTTGCTGTCTTTCTACCTAGTAGCTTCTTGTTACTAGTAGCGATGGCCTCCACCTAGTAGCTTCTAGCTACTACAGTAGTAGCTTGGCACATATACCGATCAGTTGGGATGCTTGAGGTCAGGGGTCAATGTTTGTAGTGTCTGGTGAATGAATACGTTAACAGTGTAGTGGTTTCAGAATCCAGCAACATGACCTTTAGATGCGGGTCCATATGTTCACCACCGAACTTGGGGATGGTGCCATCTACTCTCAATCCACTTTGGATGGACAACGCATAAATCAGTGCAAGGCAAACATGGGAACAAAAAGAACAAAAACAAATGCCAAACACACATGGGGAGTGACATTGACATGGATGCACTTGTTGGTCTAGTTCTGGTTGTCATATGCATGAATGCAGCTCAGTTGTTCTGTTTTCTCCGCAAGTTCCCTCAAACAGCTCACAACAACCAAAAGCAAGTGAAAAAGGGCTGCACCAGGCAGACAACAAACTCCAACACAGCCGAACCCTGTGTTAATCCCCTTCAGATCGCGCGATGCGCCAGACTGGCTGAAGCTGCAGCACTCAAAAAATCAAACTGAATAAGTATATTATAAGATTATATAAGCTAGGAGGAGTTAAAACAGGGTGCCTATTGGAGGATAATGGGCACTGACTTAGGGACTAAACACTACCCCTTTTGGACATCTAAGCTTGTAAAATGATAAAAAGGTTTCTGGTTTGGAAACGAGCCCTGTATTTGAAAATGCAAATTCCAATATGGCCTTCACAAGGTGTATTTGGACAAAAGATTGGCACCATGTTGCCTAGGTTTCCCTCCATTGCTAGCTTCCACCATGTCGTTCTCAGGCAAGCCTTGCGGATGGATGGTCCTCCGTCCCGGCTGTCCCAGAAGGTTCTCCAAAACGGTTGGGATGAAAATGGATGAAAGGTCCCTGTCGGTCTGATGCTGCATCCTGTTCAGAAGCACCCTCCTACGGCCCCACCGGGCCCGTTTGATGCACGGCACTCAGCACATGCAGAAAGCCCCAAACGAGCTGTGAAGAGAAACGGAGCGTTCCGAGGAGCCTTCATCAGCATCCACCCAAATATGAAGCTCACCCTCCACTGCTTGCAGCAACGGCAAGCCCAATGCAGAACTCGCCGTACTTGTCATGGCGTCGCATGGACAGTGAATGTATACACCTTGCCTGGACAAAACCACACATGACCGGTCTAGATGGGTGGAGAACATCAACATACATCAACCACATCACCCTATCAACATGGCCCTTCAAGCTGCCCAAAACACACCGGATGCCATAATAAGCCTGTTTGGGCATCTTCATGTGCAGTTCTGTTTTTGCTATCCTTCAGGGGAGGGCCTTTGTACCTTGGGATTGGTTCCAGCTACCTGCCTCTGCGCCTGCTGGGCGCAAGCAGATCGAACGTCTTTCAATTTCCAAGTCATAGTGGCAAATTTGAAGAATTGCTTCAATGATCACTCCCAAATCTAGTGCAATATAGAAGCTTTGTATAGTGACCCCCAAAAAAATTGGAAAAACAAATCCGGTTTGAAGCCCCTCTAGAAATGTCTTGGACACCAATTCGATCTATTGTTTTGGGATTAGCTGATTAGCTTTACCGCAAGGGGCCTTGCCTTTGGAAGTCAATGGACCAACAATCACTTCAGTAGCCCATCTGTTCTGTGACCTGGTAGCCTTTTGAAAGTTGTTGATTGATTTCGATCTTGGCTCGCCGCTCGCCAAAACTGCTGAACAGTCATGATATGCAACGATCTTTCGCTGGAACACATGGAGGCCCTGTAGGAGAGTCTATAAATTTGCTGGAGGGAATATTGAAAAACCTATAGACTCTCCAAAATGCCGCACCCCCCAAAAGGACAGTGGGACTGTTTGTCACTGAAATCAACTTCGAACAAACGTCACCTGATCCAACGAAGGTCGGGAACCAATCTGGTTTGGTTCGTGTCCCTAATGGGTGATGACCATTCACTCTGCCATGCTGCGAACTGCACCTGGTCCCCACCCCTGGAATGAACCATCCCTCACCTTGCTGGTGCGATGAGGGTGGCTGACCCACAAAACAGATTCCACAGGCTCTGGCGCCACCCTCATTCCCTACTTGCACCAAGGTCGCAGGAGCAGGAACGGGATGTAACGGGAATCGCTCCGACGGTCGACGGTCCCCGGAGCGTTTGTTTTGGGCGTTGACCGGGCACCACTGGCTTTGCAGGGGCGAGCGGAGGCGAGCGGTTGGCGGTCGGTGTCGCCTTTTAAGGGAAACAACAAATAGCGTGGGATCTCTGCGAAACCAGGTTTTTAAAAGAATGGATGATGAGTCATGTTGTATATATACATTAGGTCTTGTTCAGTTTTTTGGCTGAGGGAGGGCTAAGCTTCGCGTGTCCCTACAAAGTCCTTGGAACATGGGGCTAAGCTTGGCAAGAGCATTGAGCATTGGTCCCTGCAAGGGTTCTGTGTTGGCAGGTGCAAACGGAATACATGCTCTTGTCACTGGATTTGTTAAGATTTGATGAGGTAACTTTACGGGAAACCATGGTTTGCCAGTTTGCACTGCCAAAAAAATTGGTTTACATGGGTTTGCTATAGTAGATTTCATCCTATTTATCAACCCATTCTGAGTTTTGGGGAGGTCTTGTGGCGAGTGGGCCTGATTGTGCTTTTCACACAGATATATATATATATATACATATATTTGAAGGTTAACTTCTGTAGTATATTGGGGATCGTTACCTGTGGTTGTCATTGCAATCCCATGTTTCTCGTCGTTCCTTCCCGCTCTTCGGCAAATGGTCGCTCCGTCCCGCTCACTGAAGCAGGCGGCGGAAAAGCTCGGCATTCTCCTGAGATTTGACACCGGGCTTCTGTTTGAAGAGGTGTAAATATATGATTATGCCATTCCAGGGTATATATATATACTGTTGCAGTATGTTGCAGTAAAAATATATATAGAATATATATATATATATATAGCAGTGCAATAACTACCTATAGAACCTACACCAGTCCGTCCTTGTGCCAAACAGAAAAAACACCTCCAGTGAGTGGATCAGCGCACCATGGTACAGCGGTATCTCTTGGTGTCTGGTGTATGGAGATCAAACATGGCCTATCTTGGCCTAGCCAAACTCCGTCAACTTTGCTCCTTCTTATTCCTAGTAGCGTTCTTGCTGCTAGTAGCGATGCCAGGAGCCCCTAGTAGCGTTCTTGCTCCTAGTATGCCATGTATAATCTACTCCTTCGACTCGTCGACCTCATCTCTTTTCATCGCAGCACGCCCTCAGCGACTTCGCCCGCCGCAGCCACCGAGTCCGAGAGGCGCGGACGAAGAATTCCCCCATGGCCGCCAGCAAGTTGATCTGCGGATGCGTCAGGGCCTCGGCGGCATGCGACGCGAAGGCTTACATGAGCCGTGCTTGCGTCGTTTTCTTCGCAAGGCTTGCGACGCTCACGTGGGTGACGTCGGCGACCTAAAGGTGTAGATGAATGTAGATGACATATAATAGGTCCACAACTCACATTGTTCACTTGATTGGTTTCGAACTAAAGAGCGTAAAGAGCATGGACTCATGGTCCCAAGATCACAGGTTGAACATTTAAAAACACTCAAACCATGCACTTGTGGAGATTCCAAGCGTCGACTAAACCTGGGATGAATGTGCCCGTCAACCATTTCTTCACCTCGATCCACCGGAACAAAACACAAACTTCACGATCACTTTGCAAGGGAACATGGTAACTTCCGAGGATAGAAGCGCTCTTTAGCCAAGCAGGACAAAACACTCCCACTATCCCTCAGGTAGAGACCATGGCAAAAGTTGGAATCCTTTGCTGGTGGTAGGTATTTCGCTCACTCGTCCGGGTGGCTTTTACTCACTTTTACGGTAGGGCAACATCATCACTTCCATGTTTGCGTGTTGTTTGTCGGTGGTGAGGTAGTAACCTACGATATACGGACCGATATACTTCTCCCACTACTTCTTCCATCTTCTCACACTGCGTGGTGATGTGGACTCAATTTGTTTTATACTGTAGTAGGGTGCGAATGCACCACATCCCGGTTGCAGGGTAAGAAAGCAATAATAGTACATCATGCTATCAGAAAGGAGCGGTCTCCATGCTATATCTCTTGTCCAGCAGCTGCAAAGCAACTATGCATATCCCATAATTCACGCAGCCCCGAAATATGGAACATGTTGTGCCGCACTGCAACTTTTGTCGTAAACCGAGGAGCAAAAAATCAAGGAGAGCAAGCAGTGACCCAGCACCTGCGCATTCCTTCATCACATCTTCCGCACAAGATTGGGCGACTTGGACTTAAGCCATCTTGGTTTTGTGTTCACGTTGTTTCTGATCCACGCAAGATCGGAAGCAAACTACCTCATCATCGAAACAAACGTTTGCCGACTCCCCACGGCCCAAGGTACCGTCCCGGAGCCAGCATTCTGGAAAACCACCTGGGCAAGTCGTGAACGCAAGAGTTCGAGGCCAGCGCGCTACATAAAGGTTGCTCAACCTTAGAGCCAACCCCCGGTGTGAAGGAAGTATATAACTCCTTCTATACATTCAGGTCTGAGATGTCCTCGGTTGGCGTAATTTGTTGCAATTGCCTTTGACATTCGGTCCTTCGCTTCGTCCAACTCCAGGAAAACCAAAACAAGAACAACTCTCATCAGCTTGACCCCCTCGGTCTTTCTGGAAAGTACAGGTGCACCCTTTTTCCATCGTCCGTCTTGCTTGGTGCAAGACTAACCCCGCCACGGCGTTGTCGCTCCGAAGGCGTGGGGAGGGAGGGGGGTTGAAAGAAACCCGATCTGGACGAACCATTGAACTCAATTGAACTCTAAATGGTGGTTCAACATATATATATTATATAGTTGATATATATACCCTAGGCCTCCAGTCGTACCGAACCGTTTCGTTTCGGTGGGACGACCGGGGCCCGGGTGCCAGTGTCGGGTCCAGTCATAGCGAAGCTGAGGAGATACGACTGGAGGTGTTGGGCTAGGGGCTTGCCCCCTTTCAAAGGGTCTTTGGGATTTGAGCCAGGAGTTGCGAAGGGCTCCAGTCGGTAGGTGGTCGCTATTCAAGAGTCAGGGTGGGTGGAAGTGGAGGGAGTGAGTTCGCCATCTGTTTGGTAATTCCAATGATTGGGTCACCCAGTTGTGGATGCCATCCACTTCCATTGATGATTTCAGGGAGTGTAACTATATATAGCTAGAATTCACACAATCTATCCGCCAGCCTGGCACTGTAAGACACCCTGGGTTTCACCAGAACATGGATGAACATGGCACCCATCCCGAGCGCACCCGGTAGTGAGGGAAGCGAGCAAACTCTGCATGAAAGTACCTGGAGCAGGGCACTGGGCTTCTGGGCTCGTGCCGGAGAAGTCTTCCAAGCAGGCTTGTTGATGCGATCAGCTTCGAAAAACGAGGAAAGCTGGTGGCTGCCACAAACCGAAGCACCAAGGAGCTGGCAGCTGCCAAAAAAAACACTTTGTTTCTAAGCCTAAGAAGCCTAAGGGGCACAAGGCGCGGAAGCCTGGGGATCTCTTGGGAGGCAGAAGTCCAACTCACAGAATGCATGACTCCAAAAGCAGAATCGACATTAGCTAGCTGTTAAAACCCATGTGTGACAGTCAACATGATCGACCCGCATGCCTCTCCAAAAAGCTACAGTCAGCCATAGCTTCACCGAGTGACAACACCATCGACCCGCAAGTCTCCAGAACCGCTGAAGACGATCCCAGGGAAACCCTCCGTTTTGCCGCTGGTTGATAGGAAAACACTCGCGTTCATGGTGCCATTCGACCCGGGTCCATGTGAGTCTAGGGGGGGGGTGTATGCCATAGGACTGCCGCCCCATTGACCCCCCTGGCACCACCCCTGGCCTGATCGGCATATATGGCAGTCCCATGGAGTCTGGGTACGTCCCTTCTTCATCGCCGATGGAGAGGCCCCCGCAAGCCGAGGCCCGAGCCGTGGATCAACAGAAACATGATAACGTTGGTTGTGGGTTGTTGAGTGGCGCTGTGAACGGCAACCAACAAGGAGACAACAAGGAAGCAACACTGACAACCACAACAACCACGACGACAACAACAACAACCACAAGCACAAGCACAAGAGATTGTTTTGCATGTCGGGGAACTTGATGGAGGAAGTTGGTTGGTATTCCTCCGTCACATCCACTCACTGCAAGTCTAAATGTTGCCCAGGGAGCCCGGACAAAGATTGGCCAGAAAGGCTGACTGGTGCTTAGTACGGAATAAGGGAAGTTTCGCCCCCAATAGAGTAATAGAGATTCTATTGGATCCAGCCACCCTCATTTTCTGCTTTTGTCGCACCAGTCAGAACGGGGGTTCACCCTATTCGGGGAGATCCACATCCCACCACTGCGCACGACTGGAGGTTGTCAGCGGTATCCTTCGGCAGCCTGCTTTCGAAGTTCTGACACTTGTCCAGGTACACCATCAGCCTTAGGAAGATCAGTGTGAATCTTAGATACTCAGGAAACTACTCAGGAAGTTGGTGTCTTCGCCGAGGAATCACCAGCGGCTTGTTCCAGCTCCTAGACCTGTAGATGTTGTTCAAACCAAATCCCTACAAGTCCAAAGACCCAGTAAAGCTTGGTCTTTTACCTCATTGAGTATTGGTTTTGTATGACCATCCCCAGTAAAATGAGGTCTTTGACTTGTAGGGAATGGTTCTGAATTCAAGAAATCCTTGGGCACTGTGATGCGCAAACACGAACAGCATGGACTAATTACACGTCCTCCAATCGCCACCGAAGAAGCAAACACTGTCTGGGTGCGTCTGGAGACCTATTTACGGTCCGGGTAGTCTAGCCAGGACACCCAAAAAGATCAATGATCCTGCACCCGAGTGATTGAAATTTCGACCTTCAACTTGGAGGCCCGGACCGTCAAGCATCACGAAAGAATTCACCGGTTTTCCGCGGACTGGCGATGTCCGCGCATCCAGGAGAAGAACTAGTTTGGATGGTTCTACGGTTGTTCATGATCCATCAATCAAAGACCTCAGTAAAATTTTACTGGAGATGGTCATACAAAACCAATACCCAAGGAGGTAAAAGACCCTGTTTTACTGGGTCTTTGGACTTGTAGGGAATATTTAAACATCCCATTGGAACTACCTATCACGGCCATGCGGTTCGGCGTCCCCGCGAACCGCCGGGGGACAAATCCACGCTGAAGCCACCACGAATGCCCCACCAACCTCAGCAGTGAGGGTGTCAAAGCCGATTGCGGCGAAGCGAAACAACATGAAAACATGCCGTGTGTATATATATATATATAATCCCACTCTGCTCCCACCTGCCCAGCCTTCAGAAGCTCTCTGTCTCTTTCCAGCCGGTGCTTCTGAGAGTGTTGCGAACTAACTCACATCCGACAAAAGCGAAGCCACAGGATCTCATGCTGCCTAGCCATTTCTGCCCAGCAGACTGTGATCCATTTGACGCAACACCATGCCCAATCTGGAGCCCATTCTGATGCAAGCATCTGAAGAGTCTGGTTTTACCGGAGACGAGTGGAGAGAAACTGCACTAGTCGTTTGGGCGCAGCCTCCACCTGTTTCCGGCGGCTTGCGGGAACAAACTTCCACTGTCTGACCATGAGGCCGCTCTTTTCATAGCGACTGACCGACTTCTTCGAAGCCCATCGTCCTCTTTTCTGCACAGCAGACAGGTCACGCCTTCGGTGGAAGAAGTCGGCTGAGGCGCTAGAGTGTCGAAGGATATGTGGTTGCACGATCACAGCGGAGTATCCCAGAGCTGCACACGCGGTTGCCAGAGCTTTTTCATACGCAGCCAACGTCACGTCAGGAAAAAGGGGCCCGCTTGAGTTCGAGTGTATAGGAAACCCATCACATCCATTCACATCCGTCATGAAACTTCGGTCTTTGGTGTCACCAATCACGACTGAGTCGTCGGCAGTACCAGTCTTGGTTCTTTCACCAAGTTCTGACAGTTTGACAATCAGACACCAGAAAGGATACCGTGGTCCTGCTGGTGGCACCACATGGTCTTGGTGCAGGCCAATGGCTTCACTAGGCCGGAGACACGCATCAAACTGAACCAACATGAGGAGGGCAAGATCTAGGCGTTCTTGGCCTACATGAATGGCAACATCGTAGATAATCTCTTCAGCCACCGGAAGTTGCATTGACCCCGGCTTCAACTTTCCAGCTGGCCAAGGCCTCCTTGGCTTTGGCAAGAAGGCATGCTTGGGAACATTGCACTTGAGCAACTGGAGACCATAGACCAAATACGTGCCAGCTGTCGGCTCTGCAGGGTCTTCATGCTCTGCCAGCCAAGTGATGTACTCTACAACCCTGGCGTCCATATTTGCAGCGGTGCTTTTGTGAGCACAGTCATAGAAGTCATTCATGTGCTTTTGGTATCTGGTCAAAGTCTTCTGTGAAACCCGAGCAGCCCGGAGCCGAACCAAGGTCGGCAGCGGATTCCCGGAGAGATCCCGTGGTTTAGGGATCGCCTTCTTGCACGGTTCCAAAAGAAGTGGCTATGCGACACTGCTCCACTACGGCCTCGTTAGCCAGATAAAGTGCCCAGCTCCAACCCATGCACATGCCCCGAAAAGCGAAACACACCTGTTCAGAGTCTGGAAAAGAAGCGAAGTCCGCAAGGTCATCGTCATAGATGCGGTCGACACTAAACCCCAGACTCCGAAGTTCTCCTAGGCTCATGCGATCGTCAGTGCAGAACCAAACTGAGGGGCTCTATGGAAAAGTTGTAGAAACAATCGCCCACGTCCCCAGCCGACATGCCCGGAACTCGGGCCTCCACAACTTCTCCAACTCCATTCTGTGCAAAAGGGTCAAGGTCAAGCTCTCCAAAGGCCGTAGTGGTGGAGAGTCTAGTGAAAGGGGGCCGCCTCTGCTTCTGGTTGGCATCCCTAGCGTCCACTAGAAGTCTTTGCACGCCATCTTTCTTTGAAACAGTGAAAAATGCAACTCGGGCTTTCCTACGTCGACGAAAACAGAGCAGTCCAGCTGAGTGAAGTGCACGATAGAGGTCAAGTCTCCTACCGAAGTCAGTTTTCAAACCGGGATCCCGGTAAGGAGTGATTGGGTCAAAGGACTCTTGCTCCGCCTCAAGTTCAACTGAAGATTTGGAAATAAGGTCCTCGTGGTGGTGGATGTAGACTGCCGCCTCCGGCGGCAAAAGCTTCTCGACTGGAATCAATTGCAAGCTTCGCTGAAGGATGCGGTCGGTGGGAACCAGTCTAGCCGCTTTTTGTGTATACAGGTTGGTTGATGACAGCATGTTTGCAAGGGCCGAGTCCTCATCCATTTCGGTGGGTTGGGCCCCATGCCGTTCCACCCTCCTCCATATGTCTGCCATAGCCCATTGCTGAACCGCAGTGAGAGGAAGATGTTCATTGGCTGAGTTCGGAAAAGATGGAACTGAAGCAAGGTCATTCAAACTTTTGAGAGAGTGATCCACTCGCTGTCGCAGCTCCTGAGCAGGGTCATTCAAACGTGGACCCCGAGTCAACCTGGGCAAAGGAAAAATAAGGAAAACATGCTCCATGCCGTCAGTCTCGTGAAGTGCACCGAATTCCAAAAGCATTCCATTCATCGGCCATTGGACGGGAGTGACAGGAAAACCTGGCCGAAGTCACCCCCAGGCGGCAGTTCGTCACTTGTCATGGCCGGCGCCAGCTGCGCCGGACTCGCCGCCTTTGTCGCCCTTCTGGTCGCCTTTCTTCTTTTGCTTCTTCTTGCCCCGGTCATTCTCATCTTCCGACTCATTATCATTGTAGCCTCCACGGCCAGATCTGTGCTCCTGTCGGTAAAGCCTCTCTTGCTTCCGAGGCTCTGCCATCCGGCAAGGTTGCTGTGCCGGCCACAATGTCCAAGCCCGAGTAGTCGGGAGTCTGGGGGCTTCTCTCCACCGCCAGCTCCGTCTGGATGAGCCACCGGCAAAGAGTCTCTCCTACTGCCAAGGAAGAGGCATCCAGCTGGTCGTACGAGTGGAGAAGCCTAAGAAGCTCGCACAAGTTGCGATGCACATGAGAAGCGGAGTTCCGACCACTAACGCCGAGAGCCTCACCCACTCACTGTGGTAGGAGGTGAAGTTCCCAGGCCCTTCTGAGACGGAAACATGAAGCTCTTTTGCCGCTCGAACTCCAGCTATGGGAAACTCCTTGTCATCCGGCTGGTGCATGAGGGCCATTGCAGAGGCTAGGTCAAGTCGCCTTCGACCGACTGAGTCGCGGTGGTCTCCAAGCAGGCGGACATCGCCCAACTCTTTCCGGGCTTTCCATTCTTCCAACTGTCACATCGAGATTCGTTCAGCGAAGGTTTCCTCCCCGTCTAGCAGAACGACTCCTCTGGTGGTGAAGGCACGCCCTGTTGCTTCACTGGCAAGGAGTCGAGTGTCCACACTCTCGCCAAAGCGCTGGTGGGATGGACCGGCAACAACCCATCCAACAGTCTCTAACTCATCCACGGCACCCTCTCCCAGGATCGAAGCCTGGATGGTCGCCTGTCTCTTGAAGTTCTGCAACAGGGCTCTGCTGATGGGGTCGTGCGCATACACTTCTGCCGCGATGTCTCCTGGAAATGGGGTGTTCCGCTCCAAGATGCGGTGAGCATGAGTCTGAAAGTTGTGCCGCTGCAAGTCGTGATCTGGGGTTAGACAAATCCAATCACCTCCTGCAACACGATGGAGTAAAAGACGATGATGCCAGTGCAGGCCGGCCCCATCATGGGGGTAGTGAACAAGCACTTGCAGTTCAGACACATCTAGTGTGGTCGCTACCGCCATCTTCGCGATTTGGTCGAGCAACTGGAGGTGGGTTGCGGATCTTGCCGTTGGGAGCTCTGGTTAGCGTGGAGCTTAGTCAAAGCCCTGAGTCTCTTGGTCCTGATTGGATTTTTTGGCTTCTTTTTCCACTGGAAGTGCTTCAGTCTTGCGCGAGTGGACCGGAACCGAGCCATAGAAGACTCTGATTCGGCATCCATCACTTCGGACCTCTCGCCTGTAGCTCTTTGATCCACACCAACTTCCTCCTTAGTGCCAAGTCAGACTGGAGGCCCCACCCGGCCTTCAGACCGGAGGCGGTTGAGAGATGCCCAATCTCCTGTCGCAGCTGAGCGGCTTCGGTGACTGCCAACTCAGACACCGTCGGACGCCGCAGCTCCCACAGCGCCGCCAAGAAAGCGCCCCAAGCCCAGGGGTGCCCGCCGCTCATGAAAGGCTTGAAGAGCTTGAACATTAAATGAATTCGGGCATGGTTGACTCTAATCATGGGTTTAAAACATGGCAGGCCTCTCTCTCTCTCTATATATATATATATCTCTCTATATATACCCAGACACTCCATGTATGCCATATATGCCGCTCCATTGACCCAAACAAAAACCACCCCAATGTAGGCATATATGGCATACATGGAGTGTCTGGGATATAGTTATAAATGTCCAAGTGAGACTTGACTCCTCAAAGGTATCATTTTGATCCATGGACATGTGTGTAACTTAACTAAACCATTAGTCACTCAATCATTCTATACGTAACTCCAATGCCCCCATTTTCAAAATTACTTGAGCAATCTTGAGCATATATAATGGGAAACCATCTGGAACACTTGGGGAACCCATCCGCCAAGTCAACCAGATGGGCCTTGCGGATAGAATCAGATAGACATATATTTTGTACAAAAACACATCGAGTCCAAGCTAAAGATCTCCAAAAGTGTAACGGAAACCCTTCTACATCCTTCTACATCCTGACTCTTGACTGGCAAATCCGCCGCCCCCGGTTCGATGGTAAAACGTCTTCATATATATGGAGGGTTGAAAAATCCACCTACGAGTCTACAGCCCACGTACGGATGCTGATCTTCCCTATAGCAAGCGCCACCGAGATGCGGTTCGGCAGCACCTGCAAGCGGCGTTGGGCCACCGTGGGCTGTCCACGCTTCTTCAGGGATTGCAGCTGACACAGCAACGGCGCCAAGTCCTTCTTCCGGAAGACCTGGGGGGACAGCCGCGGCCCGCGCGGCTGCGCACAGAAGCCCCAAACCGTGCCAAGGCGGAAGAAATGACGCTGGCAAATGCAGGATCTCCCATTGGGCGAACGCCACAACGACGGAAAGGCGGTGTGTTGGGTCGGCGAGCTGATTCAAAGGTCGTGGAGAGTCTGTGTGTTTCTCAAGTCCGAACCTGAAGCATGTGGCACACGGAAGAACAGTGGAAGTGGTGAAGAATGTCTGTCTCCCACCCATCTCCGGATCTCCAAGTCCTCCAAGTAGCGTGGTTTTGAGTCAAAAACTCCCCAATATCGTCCTGCACGTGCTGACCGGCTGCGCATGGAGAAGAAAGCATAAGGAACATCATTGAATCTAAAGGTCAAAAGCCACCAAGAACATAATTGAAACACCACGGTGAAACACATTGGTTTTGCACCACATGTGTACATGTTTTAAATGGTGTGTTGGTGTTCTGCCAGATAAGGAGCGAGTTCAAACAAAGGCGCCCATGGGTCCTTCTCCCAATAGCCAAAGTTCGCCCTCAGTTGATTCTCCAGGCGCTCAGCCACATCACTACTGAGCTCCTGCTGGCCCAATGCACCTGAACATGAGTGGCATGACGATGGAGCGCTAACATGTTGTCGTGACACCGATGATGTTTCGTATGCAGGTACACACATGGTTTCCATGACGTTTCATGGGTTTTCACCACGTTGATGAACGACGCACCCAGGCCGTGCTTGCTAACGGTCCTGTCAAGGTTTTAACAGGGTCCCACCTGTGGGGACCAGGCGTCGATCGGTTTGGAGGATCGGTTTGCCTGCCCAGCATGCTGAACCGACCGGTTGGTGTGCCCGGCATGCAATGGATCTCAAGCAACTAACAGTGCGCCCAGTAGGCCCTAGATCTGTATCTTCTTGAGTGTGCCACAAACGGAAGGTGTAAGAGAAAGGGGCATAGTTCCACAAGAACCACTACAGGTGCCTATATGAAACAAGGCGCTGAGCTGACCCAAACAGCTTCAATGCGATCCAAATCCAGCCAGGATGCAAAAATCAACGTCATCCGGAAGAGCATGACCAGTACTGACCACCTTACTGATGCTTCCACTGTGAATTGCCTATTGTGGAGAGCAACCATCGCAGATTGAAAGGCTAGGGTCGAGATCACCAGTAGCGTATCTTCAACCAACATATATATGGACTCTAGACCAACAATCAGTGGCCTCTGGATCAGTATCGTATTATCGTCAAAAAAAGAGTAACATCATGAGAACTTGTCCATTCGACCAATCAGTCTTCTGAACGAAGATGTTGTAAAGTGTCTGCGCAGTCCATGCATAGACAAACGCGTCTGCGCACTGCCAAGCGAAAGAGCTTGCACCAGTGGTTAGACACCAATATAGCCAGCCCTGAACATCTAGAAAAAACGAGAACCATTCAACGCAGCTCGCGACACCAACGCGCTGAACAAATGGTGGTTTAGATGGACCCCTATACAAAAGACATCGTGTGGTTTGTGCCATCGAGCCTCTGAAACCACATACCCAGCTGGTCTGACCGGACTCTGAAAACTGGTTCGCACGGAGCAAAGAAGCTGTAGGGCTCAGGGCCGGCCTAGGGTGCCAAAACTACAGGATCCATTGTGAGGGACATCGGAAGTGCAACAACTGAGCTGACGTCATGGGCGAGCCAGCTGGAGACTGGAACCAGTGGGGACTGGTGCGACCAGTGGGGATTGTGCCATCGACTCTGAAACCACTGTAGATGGTTCCGGATACATGGTTTTCACCAGTGAGCATCCACACCCCACATGGATCGCACAATCTCCTGTGGTTTTCGCCTAGACCACTCTTGAAAACCTTAGGCTCAAAGCACTCAGCTAGGGAACCAAGAAGGAAAATCAATCGACGGACCCTTCCATGTCAATTCCACTCCCAAACACTCTACATGGAGTGTCTGGGACTTGTGGCTTGCTGATGTTGCATCGACGTCGTTTGATTCAGGTCTGACCCCGTCCAAGAAGCTAAAACCACCTTGCTCGCTCGCCGCTGCAGCATGGCTAGCAGTCCGCTGTTGTCCTTGGTGAGTAGAAAGGGTCCGTCCCATTTCAACGGACATCTTCAAATCCCTTTTGACAAGCCTCCGACTGCTCAGTCATTGATGGACATGTCTGCATAGGCATTGCCTATGTGCACGTCGTCTCACTAAATACAGCACCCCCAGCTGTCGCCAAAAGGAATCCGGTACACGTGCCAACGTGATCAGGAAGAGGACCCCCAAGTATGCTGCAAGAATCAATTTTTTGGGTGAAATCGGAAGAACATGGAAGAGCCAATTGGAACCAACATGAAACAATAAGCACTTGCCTCCAACAAAAATCCGCCACCCAAACACTGCGTTTGCCCAGCGTCGATGTTGCCACCATCTCCAAGGAGGTAGGTGCCTGGACAGAAAGCGTCGAACGCAATTTGTCCCCCAAAAAGAATCAAACAGGAAACATCAGAAACCATCCTGCACCAGCAGTCACAAAAGGGTGCTTGATGGAGGTTAGGGGTGCCCAGCTACTCCACTCACTTAGAGTCTAAACACCACCCCCCGGACATGTGACTCCTTGAATTCGTACTTCTCACATTCTCCATCGAAATGAGCTCGCACTCTTCTCCCTATAACCCAAAACGTCGCACGAGAACCCGATGACCCGGGAGTGGAGAGTCAGACTTGTCCAAGCAATAGAGCGATAGGGATCCGTTTTCGTACCTTCTCAGGTACGGTGAGCAGGGAGACACTGTTATGTAGGTGCCACGAGGGTCCAGTCGTACCTTCTGAGAAGGCACTTGGATCCCTAGGGGAGTAATACACCACCCCAAGCTGGGCCGGCGCAGCTCTTATTGGATCCTTTGGACCCAAACACCCGGTGAAACCGTTGTTCCAGTCAGGTTGGGGGGGGTCTCGAATCCCCCGCAGGTCACCACCACAAAGGTTTTCTAGGTCATCCATGGTCATCCTGGGTAGGGAACAGAATGGTCGCACATGTGAAATGAAACTTGGTTCTTAAGGCCTACGGACATGCCGCTCCTAACACGCGGAAACTTCCAAGACACAATTTGCAAGCTCCCCAAGTGTGGTCAAGAGTTAAAACCGCCTGTTTGGTCATCATTCGGAACCCAAGCACTCCATGGGACTGCCATATGACTGCCAATCAGGCCAGGGGTGGTTGTTCAGGGTTCAATGGATCGGCCTTGGCAGTCCCATCAGTCGTGTCTGGGGAATAGCTGGTCGTGGCCATGTCATTCATTTCGAGTGTCAAGGTCTGAAGAGGGCTGACTCCCCACACACTTGGTACAGTGCCTGGCACCAGAGACCCCACCAAGAGCTCCCGCAGCTCGCGTGCCGCTCGCGTGCCCGCTCGCCCTTCCACGACCTGGTTGAACGTCCAACGGGGTTCTGGCTGGAAGACCCAGCCCACTAGTCACTACGTGGATCTCCGTTTCACAGCCCGAAGTGAAGGTCGAGGTGCCTGCTTTTTCGGGCCAACTCCTGGGTTGATGGGGAACTGACCCCCTCAGTTTTCCCTCAGAGAAAAGATTCACCTTTGTTGAGTGGGGAAACCAGCAGCCCAAAAAGGGTTAAAGGTTATCCACTGGGTAGGGGAACAACCACCCTCTACTTGCTCAGACGGGAATCCAGCGAGAGCGGGAGGCCCGCATCCTGCTGCCAAAAGTACTGGCACCCTTGGGCCGCTCGAACTTTGGTGACGGAATGGCCCAGTAGTCAGACCTGCCACGCAACCAGACGAGAGCGACTCAGTCTGATGGATGGCCAGTTCACTTGCAGTCTGTTGCAGTCTGCAGGGCGTTCTCCCTAATGACGGGCTGCAACCTAACATCGAAACAAAAAGACACTTACATCATTCGCAGTACCATATACTATGACCAATAGACTACCCTATCCAACTTACAGGTCTCCAGACAGGGCACCCAGACAGGAAGTGCTAGGGATGTAGAGTTCATGTATTTCTTTGAGCAGTGCAAGTCCATTAGGAGCTCCACTCTGACAAAAACCGACCACGACCACCCTCACCAGGGTTTGCTAGCCGTCCAACCTCCGCCCCGCCCCACGGAGCGAGCGGCCAAAACGGCACAGAGCGACCCGGCTTTCCAAACGATTCTCTTAATGTCCCAGTGGGTGTTGATAGTCATATACTGTATGTTGAAGCACTTCCATCATAAACTTTGATAAAAACACAACGTGTTATTAAAATATGTGAATCAGTGTGAAACCTATGTCGCAAGTGATGTGCCCAAATGGAAAACCTATATTGGACAACGTCTCCATGACTCTCAAGGGTACGATTCAAGCAACATGTGAATCAGTGTGAAACCTATGTCG